GTCTCAAACAAAGTTTCGCCAGCATCTGAACTAGCGAAGCATCCGGTTCTGACTTCCTGGATGAGTCCGAGAAGTTGGATCGATTTTTCGATCTGCCCTTGCCAGTCTGGGTGGAAGACTCTGAGTCGGCCGTTCGAGGCCGTTTCACATGGGTGCCGAGAGCCTCGACCAAATCGTGAAAGGACATGTCGTCGTTGGACATATGTTCGGCCATCCCGACTACCAGCTATGGTGAGAAACAGGTCACGGGCTAACGCGTGTTCGAGCTCCATCAGAACATGGTGCAATGTCAACTGTTGGTGTGAATATGTGTCAATCACAACGTGTTGTGGGGTCCACCAGGAGTCCATGCTATTTGAGTGCCAGGCCCATCGGAAAGGCACAAGCGCGGTGATCCATGCCACCGTCCGGAAAAGCATGTCAGAGGTCAACAATACCTGAGGCAGTTGGCGGAAGTGAGAAACCCATCTGGTTGTCTGTGCATATCAGTGAAGACGTGCTTCCGGAACAAGTGCAATCGAATGATACAGTGGCATGGGGACGTGATGAATCATGTCCATGCAATCCGGTGTGTGGCCTGTGGATCTGATGCCCAATGTCCATGAAACCGCGTTTGATGCCCATCTTGGCAAAGGTGTGGCATCGGGCACTTCAAGCGGGACAGAAGGACCATAGTGTTGGTCGTGGATCCATTGAATGACAAGCTGTGGGCATGTTCCCCTGCTAAAATGATTTTGCAAGGCAAACGGCATCGTGAACGAAGCTCTGCAATGGGTGCAGCTCAACCGGCCCGGCATCATGTCACGGCTGAGCCTAAAGGGAAATGACTCCGGCTTGTCAACCTGACGCGTCAGGCGGACATGTTGGGCCAGACCTTTTCGTCCAATCACTTCTAGACACAAAGGGCAGGTGAACTCAGACAGTGGGACTGGAATCTCGGTGGTTGCAATCTCAGCCAAACGGGTCTGGATTGTATCTTTACCTGGAGGTCGGCCACGCTTGGGTTGCCTAGCCGTTTGGGCAGGGGTCGACCCGGGAGAATGATGTACTTCTTGATGTTGGGTCAGGCCTTGGGGGGACAAGAACACTGCCGGATATTGGGTGCACTTGAAGATCGTGCAATTAGGATATTTATATATACTGTTAGGATATATTTATTGAAATTTTAAATTATCTCCAATTTAATTCAATTATCTATATATTCATTCCTTGAAATATGGAAGTGCCGATTAATATCTAGAATTAATTACATCTAAACAAATAAACTATTTGATTTTATAGGCTATCCAAATTTATACTAGAAAATCATTAATCATTGCCAAGAACCAATATCTCGGGAAAATTGCAATCGGGCATTCTAAAATTTAACATATTTTAACATTTTTGTTTCTAATGACGATATTTTATAATTCTAGATTTCACGGGGTGAATATATACCAAATATATCAAAAGAATTTATGAATACTTGAACTTGATATCTTAAAATAGATTCAATGCAAATTTGATTTAAAAACATAAAGGAAAATAAAGAGATATAAATATCGAAAATCAGGGGAAACAGGCTGTAAAGAATTCAATATATTGGATCAGAATATGGAAGTTGGTAGAACAGGGCAAAGGAAAAGAAATGGAAATTAATGGGAATGGAATATATATCAATATGGAAAAAAATAATATTCTAATTCCATCAAATGAAAATGCAATTAGGTGCGTAGGTCCTGTGCACGAATTCTTTTGGAAGGGAAATGAAGATCATAATAATGAAATAATAAATATATTATTGAATGCTACATAATAGATATAATATCAAGGAGGTATAAGAAAAGGAAAGGAAATGGATAAAATATAAGGAATAGATAGGGAAGAATACGGGAAGGATATAGATGGGAAGGAATGAAAATGAACGGAATTTTAAGGAATTCTGATAATAAGGCAATGATATATTTAGAATGATCTACAACAGATATAGAGCGCTAAAGAAGGATATGAGATTGCGGTTAGAAAAATAATAAAGGCAAAATAAATAATTGCGTTAGGCGTCTCGCATTTAAGATTTAGACAAATTTTTATATATTAGCGCAAATTTCAAAAACTAGATATTAATATATACTTCGTCTTTTCCTAATTAATTCATATATATATATATATTCCCCGATGAAAATAATATCCAGGACTAGGGGGAACATAATTAGATCGATTCTTTTGCATTTTATTCAATTTTAAAACATCATATATATATATATTTATTTTATCTTTCTAGAAAAAGAAATTTTAATTTACTATTTAATTGCATTGAATTCTTGATACTATTATGATATTATTACGATATATTATTACGAAATAACTATAACATACTAGCGCCCCATACTACTACGATATTACCACGATCTTTTATTATTATTCTTACTACTACTAATGCTACTATGAATATTATTACTATTACTACTATTAAATCTACAACAACAACTACGACGACGACTACTACTACCACCACTACGACTACTACCACGACTATTATACCACGACTACTATACTGCGACTACTGCCATTGTACTACGATAATCATGACCACTAGTGCTATTTATATCACTTGCAGCAACACTACCACCACCCAAGCTCCATTATACTGCAACAAGACCAGCGCCGAAGCTCCCAAATACAAATATATATATATATAAATATCGCAGAATATGACGATAATATAATCACCAGATAGAATCATTGCATTCAAATTGTCGTGCCTTTTTCGTTCGTATTTCATAATATTCCTCAAAACGTCGCATGGGTCCAAGGAAATATATAAACGAAATCAAAAAAGGCGCACAACGCCACCGGCCCCAAGCCCCCACAGCAAAGGACATTTAATAACAAGACCCTATAATAACACCAACCTCCAAATTCCCTTGCCAAAAACAAATTATGGTTGCACTAAAACTATAATTTCAAAGCACACAACAGCGGCAACTAAGAAAGACCAACCGCGACAATCAATATTTTCAATAAAATAACATTATGTTCCTTCCGGCGGAATCGAACATTAAATTTTTGAAAATATACATTATTAAATATAATATATAAATTTTAAATAATTCTATTTGCAAAATTATTTAATGTAAATAATTATATTATTGAATCTTATATATATTTGTTAAATCTATATATCGTAAAATATAATAATAAATAATCGATTTCAATTTTTATCATCAATAATATCTTATAGAAAAATTTATATAACAACAAAATTGCGACAACCTAACGAACCCCAATATAAAATAATCAAAATACATATAATAACGATCCCCTACGTCCCAAACTCCAATCCACATACCAACAATCATATAATATCCTTATCCAAATTCCCAATTAAACAATATCATCGTCCAAACTTTCAAATACATGATATCCCCAACGCAAACTACAATAATCCTAATATATATTTTTCAAAAAAACTCAATATTCGAAAATAAATCAATATCAAATATCGAAAATATATCTCTTTCTACATTTAAAATACATCCAAATTACCTATATCATCTGCGAAAAAAACACAACAAACATTATATAATATAATATATATGTTTCTATTAAATTCTCGATTTATATATTCGAAATTATAAAACAATCAATCAAAATCAATATTTATTCTATTTCATTTCATTTCATCTGTCGGTAACCTGCTCTGGTTGCCCGTGTTAGGCTACGGCGGGACGAATCCAGGCCGGACACTTCACGAGTGTCATAGCACCAGTGCTCGAAAGGACTTCTCATGTGAATTTATCACTGAATAATTCATCAAAACTCTTTGGCTTCGGTCGGCTCCATTAACGACTTGTGAACTTCTTTGGAATGACCCAGATGAGGTAAATGGAAGCGACAATCTCTACATCAACACCCAATGGAAGAGCCGAACGAAAGTCATTACATGACATGACGGTGCCACTGTGCCAAAGGATGCCACGATAGTGGCCTTCGGACATTGCCCAAATAAATGATGCCAATCGTCACAATAAAATCATATCATTTCCACATGGATACCTCGGTGGTCACTAAAGACCGGAAGCTACAAGGGCGTGCAACGATCCCGAACAACCAAATAACTGCTTTACCGGTCTATACATAGATCCATAACAATGCCTGCATGTTCAACAAACATGCTCAAAAATTGCTTCTCCTATATTTCCCAAATAGCCGTGTTAAAGGTCAAGAATGGCCGTGTTAAAGATCAAATTAATTGCGCAATTCTTATTTATGCCAAGAATATATTATATTATTACGTATTTCCTAAGCCTCCCAACTTAGTGTCAAAAATAGCGATCGCGATTTCTTCAATCATTAAGAAATTGCATCGACGAAAAATAATCAATAAAACTTAATTAATTAAATTCGTCATTAACTAAAAACTTCAAAAATACCGAGAATATTTTCATATTTAAAAAATAATAAAATATAATAAAAACAATATTATAAAATAAATATTATTTACCTTAATAAAAAAAATTATAAATAAATATATTAAATAAAACAATAATTAAATTATAATATTTAAGCCTAATTAAACATAAACATTAATATATTATTTATAATATTAAATGTATTTTATTATTCGACGCAAATAAATTCGGTTATTTCTATACATCGTAATTCTTTTAAAGAAATTTAATTCTTATTAAAATAAATAATTTATTTTAAATAACAATTATTAATATTTTATAAATTCTTAACTATAAAATCAATTATTTAAAATATTATATTTTAAAATGCTTCGACGACCATATTTTAATTTATGTTTTTTAAATTAAACATATATTTTTATATTACTATACATATAATTTTATCGAAATAATCGAATATTATAAAAAAAATACATTCAATATTATCGAATATTAATAATTCAATTTACATATTTTATTTTCAAATTATATATTAAAAGATAATTCAATTTATTGTAATTTAATAATATAATTAAATAATATTACAATAACAACAATAATAGATATATTTTCTTTTGATATTTAACTAGAATCTTCATCCTCGTATCAAGTAAACTACGATCAATACTCCATGTCTGCTCTCAAGCTTGACGTGACGAACATGTCTTTGCAATTCGACACCCTTTCTTCTGCTCAACAACTCTTGAATGTAGTTACATATAGTTTCATGTAATTTCTCACAGTGAATGATAAACCCCTCGGACCTCACGAGGATCGCGGCCGAGTCTGGCCTGAAAAACGTGTAATTGAAGCTTTGGCATTGCAGCTGGAACACCGGAAACTTCCGAGCAATCTTCGGACGAAAGTTTAATGCTTTGCAAATCAAACTTTTTTACTATTATCTCTGCATCGCATGATGCTGCATGCCTCTAGTCTGGGTGCTTCGTGAGAGTCATCGGGGCGTGTAAGCTTGTCATACATGACCTCGGCTATCTCTCATCGTTGGCCCTCAAAACAAGCCACAACGATTCATTCTTAGTCGACGGTTTCTTTGCAGCTTTGGACAAAGCGGCTCCGTATAGTGCCATAGTGGTCTCATCAGCTGCCCTGCAATTTTGACACTCCGACTTTGTTGATAGACTGAACGACCGTGACATGAATCGCAGTGGAGCTTGAACTGACTTATGGATGATTTCATGCTGAATAGCATCTTCTGCCCACCTCATCATATCGCATCTAGCGTACTGACTACTCTGAGTATCCTGTACCGTTGCACGTCTCTGCCTCTTTACAGTCTCATCCATCCCAGGCCCATGGAGGTGATCCTTCACATCGTTCTTTCGAGAAACATGCTGTTGAGATGTGTTGAACTTGGGCAGTTGAATTGTCTTGATTTTGCTGCTGCAGTTTTGTGGCTGGTGCTGGCTTTGGATTTCTAGAAAGGTTTGGCAAGTGTTAACTAAAAAGTACCAACGAGAATCTCCTGCCTGCAGTGCTCGAATCATCTCCTTTAATCCCTTCTCGTTGGGTGCGAAGCCAAACCTGGCAACTGCGAAGTCATGAGTTCTGCATGGGCAAGCTACCTCAAACAAAGGCCCGACACCCCACTGTCAGGATCGCTGAGACTGGGGCGCTTCTAACACAGGCTTCTGCAAAGGCAAAGCCTCCAAAGAATTTTCTGCTATCTGCCAATATTTTACGGTATATATTTTTATGATGTTTGTTCTCATTTCTTAAGCCCTGCGTACATTTAAGTAAGCTAACAAATAGGGGGTAAGTGGAGGCAAGGAAGCTACTACCTAGGGCGCAAAAGAGCTCAGGCTTCCTTGAAAAAGCCCGAGCCTTAATGATATGGTTCCTTGACTTTTCGAGGGAATTCTTTTAACAAATGTGGTGATGTATAACTCCTCAGGGCAGTACAAGCGCAGCCAAGTTCGTGAGGAACGGCTGCTGGGCGCAAAACAAAACATCTTCCTTCTGTGGACATGCAAATTTGGCCAAGCAAAGTGGAGCCTTCTCGCCACGTACATCCCGCGCAAGTTTGAAGATCTGCATAATCAGGACCAATGAAGTACAAAACTGCGTTATACAAATTGCTTCAACGGAAGTCATTCCTCACAGCAGTCATCGATTCGATAGCTCGCAAAAACATGACATCCTGCAGCTGGAAGGTGGTGTCTCTGTATGCATCACGAAGTTCCTTCAGCAAGTCCTATGCTGATGGCACAATGAATCATGTGGCAGGCTTCTGATCTGACTTGAAGCTCTCAGTCTCTGTCATAGGCGAGTGTTGCGACCATGGCATGACAGAAGAGTTGAGGGTCCTTGGCACCTTCTTTTGTGAGATGCTTCCGGGTCACTTCATTGGCTTCCTGCAAGTCCAAAGTCACTTCACAGCTGCCTTCCTTGCAAAGGGCTTGAGCAGTTTGACCTCTTCGATGAATGCTTTGGATGGAGAGACAGCAGGCTGTTGCCTCATGGAAGGCAACACTGTGGGTGGTTGCAACAGGCTTCTTCCAGCAATGCAGCACAGACACGCTAAGTCCTGGAGAACTTGATCTTGGTCCTGCCATTCTTCGCAACATGTCAGCATCGCAAGTGCCGCAATCAAGTTCATACTCACCGGTTTTGGATGCTTACCTAAACGTGTAACATGAAGAGGATTTCCGAATCACATCCTATCGCTACGTTTTTCTCAAACACATACGCGATCCATTTCGGATAGCTTTAGGCAAACACAACATGCTCACCATCTGATGACACACATTCACGTGCCTGGCGCTCTTCGCTAAACACATTCCTGCAAAAATCATGAGCCATTAGCAAAAAACATCAACAAACTGACAAGGATCAGTATCTATACAAATAAACCAGAAGGAGGACACAGTAGCATCAGCTACCATTAACAAGCGACCAGTGTGAGAAGCAACCACAACCAGTTTTCTTTCGCATTGCGGCCTGGCAATTGCTTTCTCCAAAGTCTTCTTCAGCGATGCTTGCTCCTCGAAGCCAAATGCTGTGATTTGCAAGCCATGCGAGTTGAACCAAAAAAAACAACTCCGTTAAGTCTGGAACTCGATCTCGCAAGGCTTGTAGCTTTTCGCGCTTGGCCTCTGAAAGAGTGACTGGTTCACGGAAACGTTAAGTCCAACAATAATGAACCTGAGACAACTTAATCTTCAAATGGTCTAGTTGAGCTACCAAACAAATGTGTTTGGACCTGCCTGCGTATCCTTTGATATTCGAGTTCGGTCAGGTCGTCCAACCGAGCACTCATCAATCTTGTGCAGGCACTCCTCTGCCTGACGTCTCAAAAAGGCGACAACCTTACCTTGTTACTAGTTACTAGTAGCTTCTAGCTACTAGTAGCGATGCCCTTGTTAGTACAAAAAAAAACACACAAGCAGTGCAATTAGTCGAGAAAGGTCAAAGGTCATGATGACACAGCCTGCGATGAGCATAGCTCATCCCTCACACGGCTTAGAAGCCACCCAAGCTGCCTCGTCAAGCTGGCCTAAACCCTCCAATGCACAAGCCCACCGGAACCAAGCCTCAGTTGCAAGGAAGCAATGGAAAGGTTCGCCGCGGCATGCAATCAAAGTGCCGCTTCAAGTCATGTACAGCTGCAAACCGTGTGTGTGGTCCTGGATACCACCAACATAAATGTTACAAATACAAGCATTCACTTGACCTTGCTAAAGAGTTGGACAGTTGCAAACCTGTTGATTTGATTCAGGATGAACAAAGCGTCACGCTTTGGCTGCTCAATGATGGAACGTGTCCACTTGAACAGAAACATGTCGCATGCAGTGACATGGAAACTTTGGAGTGGTTTATTAAGTTCATTACTTGGCTGGCCACCTTATGATCTTCCGGAGAAAGCTGTGTGGCAGTCTCGGCCGCCTGACAGTCACAGGTCACCATGAACACAATGAAACACAGGATCAAAACACAATAAAACCGATGAGCCTTGGCAGCCTCGTGCCACAAGCCCAGCTTCATGCAAGCCTTGAACCCAACACAGTGGCTCCACAGCGTGGTGACATTTCAACGACGAGCAGGTGACATTTCCACGCGTGGATTTCTATCAAAGAGCTTTGTATGATAGTCTCGGCTCATATTCAATTCACATTGTTACACGCGCTCTTCACATCTTTCCAGCCTGAGAGAGATTCTTGAGCACAGCTGTGTGAAGCTCAGAGTAAACCTGGTTGTTCTCCTTATCCGCGGCCTTAGAATGTTCTTTCCAGCGCTGGACATGGATAACCAAGTCTTTCACGGATGAGTTTGATGACCCTGTGGGGACACAAATGTCATCTCACACCTTGAAGGGACGCAAGGTGTCGTCTGCCTGCCTGCTGGTCTTGTACGGTGGACTTGCTGACTGTGACTAGCAATACGCTTTCTCTGCAGGAGGTTTCCGTTGAATCCACCAATCAAGACAAGACCGGTGTGCAAACAAGCAATGTATTGTATGTATCTTGATACGCCTCCAACTCACATAGGCCTCCATCCAATTGCCTTGCTCCCATTCCACGAGGCCATCCTGTTTGGGCTGACAAACTGCTTCACATGAGACCATATCAGATCGATGAATTGAACACCCCGAATGAAATGCCTGGATCCGAATAACAGGAATCCTCACTTGGGCCCGTTGGGTATTTGTGAAACGCACACCAACGCTGCTTCGCTTGGACGACCTTCTTCGATCAAAAGATCGTTGAAGACTGTCGCCGACCTGGCCTTCTTGCACTTCTGCCCCCAATTCATGATTTGGGCCAAGGTGTGAACATCAGCTATTTTCTTCTCCTCGCAGCTCAACATGTTCTCAGAGACAAGCGACTGGAACAACCTCTTGTTGATTACCGACACAACATCGCCAAGTACCTGCAACAATTCCTACGATCAAGAATGATCTTTGTCACTCAGCCTGATCTTGTTTTTCTTCTTGTCGATCTGTCGCCAATGTCCTCAAGGGCCATGAATGTCAAGATTTCAAGGTTCCTGACCTTTCATGAATTCAGAAACCATGAGGTATGACTCATCGACTCATCTTGTCATATCTTGCCATCTCACTCCTGGCTCTAGCATCATACTCAGTCAGCATATCATCGGCCGCCTTGCACAGGTTTCACATGGTTTCACAGGTCACATTTCAAGGACTGTGAGCCGCTCAAGGAGATGCTCGCTCCTGACTTCCAAATTCATCTACTCTATCCCGGATGCCCTGCAAAATAGTCAGACTCTCCTGCCAGCCAACAAATGCAGGTCACCTGTAAGCTATACATCGAATCCTTACAATCCAATCATGAGTCAACATCCAGAAGAGCAATAGATCAATGAGTCAACACAGTTCCCTACCACAATGGATACATCTGCTGTCCTCAGAAGAGACGATCTCATGGAAGCTTTTTCGCAGTTGCTTGGCCTGTGAAACGGATCTATTCAAGGGGCCGCTGGCATTCTTCTCTCTCACGAAGGATCATACATCCATTTCTCACCTCAAAACCTCAACAATGAACACTGTACATTTTCTACGAGATCCCTCAGGAGTTGTCCCGTTTTCTCTGTTTTCACTCTCTTCTCTGCCTTCTCCACGAAGCCGCTTAAGACCTTCATGGTAATGCTGAAGTGGAGGATCGGTGCCACCAAGCGCTTCACCTCTGTGGAGGTATCCTCGCTGTCCAGCTGAGGAAACCGGATTCGGCTCATCAGGACTTGTTTCACCTCCGGTTCCATACCCAGAGACATTTGGCACTATGCCCATGCTCAAGGTCTCTTTGCAAAAAGAGTCTATTCTATTTCCATTCTGGCGTTTCAGCATGGTCCTCCAGCAGTTCTGCAAGGAGCTCTCTTTTCTGATTCAAATCTTTCACCTTCAGAGCAAAGCAACATCTGCCAAACAGCCTTTCCTCCTTGATCGATTCTCTATCGATTCTCTTCAGGCTTCTCTGTCAATTCAATACCAACATGGAAAAGCACGCGTAGGACAAGCAGCAATACTATAGCCCGTCGCTTGGGACTATGTACTTTAAAGATCCCAGCGCGACAGTGCCTGCTCAAACTGCTTCAGCCAAACCTGATTGCAAGGCTTTCCAAGGCAGGTTGGAGGCCATTGCTATTAGGTTGGAGGCTATCTCAACCAACCTCAGGACTTCACCTCTCTCCGGCTGTTCCAATGTTGCTCCGTTCGTAGCAGGGCCTAGCACGTCGGCTCTTGCTCACCTTGCCATCTCTTAGTTTTCTGGAAACCTCTCGACTTACTCATCCTACTCTCACTGCAGTTGGCAGGTGCCTTGTTGAAAGGCTTTCTTGCAGCATGGTACCAGAACTCCGGATCGTTCTGGTCTCGATTCAGATTGGGATTGTGCCGTGGATCGGTACTGGCCAAGGCGCAAACACGTGTGCTTTCTGTTGCTCTCTATACTCAGGTCAGCATAAAGCACAAATAAACACAATCACCTAGCCAAATCTCTCTGTCTGCTGCCTGTCCAGTTGCAACTGCTTCTTTTGCCACCTTGACAACACCCGACCGCCATATCCCATGCAACAAATAGAGGTGAACATGTGCGCAATTGCGGTGCTCAAAGGAAATCGACAAGGTAACATCATTATATATAAACACAGTACTGTAGGGTTTGACTTTCGCCGGACGCCGCTAGATCGATTTCTTCAGAATCCATCCTTGGCTCGGATTCGGGCTCATTGCTTCTGAACTTTGGGTCCAACTGTGGGTATCCCAGCTCCTCGTAATTTAGTGGATGCGAGCAAACTCTTCAGAAGATTGGCAAAACAATGCGAACAGCGACTCCACCTACACTTACACGAAGGTCCAGGTCCTTGTACTCTTCATCGGAAATCCATGTTGGTGCCAAACTCGCTGCCTGGCATTTGCTTCGCTCGCCAAGTCATGTCCTATTTTGTTGCGGCCTTCTGGTCTTTGGGCAGTTCTGCAACGGCTGCCTGCAAGGCAGTCTGAGCCTGGAAACATTCAGGTTGCCCGTGGGTTGCCAAAGCTTCACGACAACCCCTCTGAATTGGCTGGTTCAGCCGGCATGCCTCTTGTTTGGCCGCAGTAAGTGCTTGACTTGCCTGCGAGTCGGCCAAGTTTCACTTCGAAGCGACGTTGCTTGAGCCAACCTGCTTTGACCTTTCCATCTCTCGCCGGGTAGCGTCCTCGACCATCGGATCAGCAACATATGCTGTTGGGAATGGAGCAAACATCTAACCCTGTCTCCTTCGCTGCCCTTCCTGCAATCAACTCCAACTTTCTCGCAGTTTCCTGAAAAGCAACATTGAAAACTGTGCTGTGACATTCTTTTTGCTCCTTGAGTTTGGAACACAACCTCAGTGAACCTGCCAACCTTGTCTTGCAAAGGATTGAGTTGAAATCCCCTTCACATCCCCAAACATCCTTGCCTCATCAAAGGCCTTGCCTTCAAAGCCTGGGAACACTTAACTTGGCATCCAAAGAGCAAAACTGGTAAACTATCCAGTCAATCTAGTCAGTTATCATTGCACAAGGCTTGGGTATCTCTCTTCTTTTTTTTTTTCTCTCTCTCTCTCTCTCTCTGTCTGTCTGTCTGTCTGTCTGTCCGTCCGTCGGTCTGTCTGAGACTGTTCTCACTCAGTCCAAAAATGTTCCAGCCATACAAACAATCTCAGTTTGATGCGCACTTGCTGGGTTCTTCGACTCAGACTGCTGGTCTGGCGGGCAGTGTGGTTTACAACAAAGCCAAATGACTGTTTCAAACAAACCCCTGCTTTAGCGACAGCGTCTTGCTGAGTTGCAAGGGCGGCGAGTGCATCCTGAGACAATGCCGAGGAAAAACAGTGCGGCTGCAACAGTTGTCCTCATGCATTGGAAGAATCGGGGCACTACTTCTTGAAGTTGTTTGAAACAACTGCCTTCGTAACCTAATCAAGGAAGAATACAAGCTGCCACAATGCACCATTAGAGGGACTGCAAGGACAAAGCCTTTGAACAGTTTACGTTGTGGTGGTGCCAATCACCGCTCCAACTTATATATTATTGGATGTGGGATGGCTCTTGTGGGCAATCTCTTGGAGAAGCAAGCCAATCCGTAGAAAATTACATCTCTCCCGTGACGTCCTCTTTGGCTTTCAGGAACTGTTCATGGCGTTCCAAGTCTTCTCCACTCAACTCCTGACTCCGTCTCCCGAGCCGGTGTGACGACTGGCAACATCATCAAAGCGGACTTCAAAACATTGGATCTTTGAGATGTCCTTATTTCTCACGACTCTTGCAGCACAAAAAACCAATATGTCGACCCATGACAACCTGAGAATCCAACATCATCTCCAACAATCTTGCTGAGCAACGCTTGGCGCCAAGCCTGCAGCTGGGAGAACGGCAAAAACTCTTCTGAGCTCCATCGAACTACCACATGAGCAGCATCTCGTCTGTTTTTCGCCCAGCAGGAGTCTGGTGCACTCTCAACTTTCACATAATCAGCTTATGTCAACTTTCATGGCGTCTCAGGAGAAGTTGTAATGCTTATTGATGGGCTTCCTAACGTCCCAAACGCAGGTCATTCCATCTGGAAAGGTGACCAAATCTCCAGCTTCAATCTCCGCCTCTTCTACGTCAGCCCACTCGCCTGTGGGAGTCACCGTGGCCTCACCCTCCAGAATATATGCTGTCTCTGTCCCGCTGTAGTCCCAATCGAACTTGGATACGCCGCAACCCCATGTTGGCCAGGATGAAACTCCAAACTTCTTATCAGCCTCCTCTTTGGACATCTTCTCAACTTTGATGCCCTTGAACCTCATGAAGGTGCCAACTTGCCGTGTAGGATTCCGCAAAAGCATTGGCGAACTTGACACGAAGGCAAGTGGCACAGCTACACCCAGCAGAAAACTGAGGATCCTCAGGCTGCCGTGGCGCCTCATGACGTTCCGGTCGAACGATGTCTAAGGCTGATCCTCTGAGCCACAAATGCTGCAAAAAAGCCTTTGACAGTGCCGAGGAGGCAGGAAGATGCAGGAAGCACAGAAACACGGGAAGATTTGGATTAGAGAGCAAAAGAACAATACAGAACAGGCCGCTCACACTCTGGGGCCTCGCCGTCCTCGGCCTTGATCTTTCGTTTAGAAACACAGCTGTTGTGGAAGAACGAATCAAATCAGTACAAACAAGCGAAGGCATTTGATACTCCGTGTCATTTCGGTCGGCCTGCTGGGTTTCGGATACCATGGCATCAATGACTCAAGTCATGTGGATAGGTCGCTTGTGCTATTACTGGCAGAAAGTCTTGAGGTCTTTAGCAAACGACTTCTATTCCCCACAAAAGTGAGAGCCTCCATTCTCAACGACTCTCTGTCTGCTGCTTGGCATCAGCACCATACCGAATTCATATAGGACGGACAAAAGATACCCCGTTGACGCACCAAGTGCGGTCTAACTGAAAGCTGTCTGGAGCTGTCTGAAAGCTGTCCGTCCTCTGTTCCGTCTGGACTTGACAAGCTGAGCGCCATGTATTCCATGCGTGTCACTTCGTGTCTACAGAAAACGACCTCATCGTCCTCAACCTCTCCCAGTTCCGTGGGACACCTTTTTCGAGCTGTAGCGCAAGCTGCTGGCCTGGCAAGGCTCTTGGATTCTCTTAGTATATAATTCTGAGTCCCGTTCCCTGGCATCATTCCGCTTGGTGTGATCTCAACCGACCTCAGTCTTGCAATTTCCTCTCGGGCAACGGCCTCCATAGGCAGGTTGCAATCCCTTCCGCAGTCTTTGCAGCCATAGCGTAGAGTATCAATGTCAAACCTTGCATGGGAAAAGGAGCACTCTCCTCATGTGGGGCAAGGGAGGAGGTGCCAAAGCATCTGCCTTTGGGCGTTTGTGCGCAGGCTCCCCATTTGCCTCTCCAAAGCCAAGTTGCAGCCAAGGGTTGTGGTTGTACTTCCAAAAGAAGCAAAGAACACATCAATTGCTACAGGTATGTAATATGTATATATATATATATGTGTACACCTATCTGACAGAACAAGTTTCCACCGCTGTCCCACCTCGTTTAGAGCTTCTCTGAATGCGAAGCAAAACCGCTGCACATCCCGAAAGGTACTGAGCAAATTCGAGCACACAATTTCTCAACAGCTCACGAGAATGGCGCTCAATACGTGGGTCAAAACTCCTTGTACGGCAGGTGCTACGTAGCTGTGCTGTTGACTTGTGGACTGGACAATGGTTTGCTCAGTGTTTGGTTTCACCAGCCATACTTGCACTGCGAATTGCGAAAACCGTCCAGGGCACTTGTAGAGTGGAGCTGGTGCCACGCGAATCACGTTGGGCTTCCGGTGATCAACCACCTCAAACAGCAAAGTCTCTGCGAAACCGCCTCTCGGAGCAAAGTCCCGTCTGGAAGCTTGGTGGCATGCAATGCCACGCTTCTCCAACGCGGAGAAGGTTGCCAAACAAGCTCTCTCCTGGGCGATTCTTCTTTGTTTGAAGCTTAAGCTCGCTTCTGAACACGAAGCTGGTAAATTCATCATCTGAAGCCCAAATCTGGTATTGAGCTTAAGCCCGCCCAATCTAGAAGTGGCATCATCTGAAGCCCCAGTACCTTATGCCTGTTTCCACTCACTTCTTGTCCCCGAGATCGGACGCCTGCGCAAACTTGAGGCTCAGTTGGCAGCCCCGCGCAGCAGGAGCGGAGGGAGTGATGACCTCAACCGAGAGAGTGACAACACGCCTGCGCACATAGTAGCTTCTTGCTACTAGTAGCATCAGGGGACCTCAAAGGACCTGTTGAAGAACGACTCAGAGGCACAAGATTTAACACAGTGTGACATGTTTCTTGTCTGCGGGCTGTGACATCCCCTATTCTGCACTCAACCTTCAAGCGTCTTGTCATGTCTTTTCGCTTTGTGTTCCTTGTTCATCCACGCATTTCCAAAGTCTTTCTACTCTTTGGAACTCTTGAACTCCTAGTACAACTCTCAACGTTCAGCACCCTACGCTCAAATCTGAGCCAAACAAGTCCTCCAAGAGCATCTCCAAGTATGCTGTCAAAAGCATTGACCTTGGTTTCTTTGAACCGCTCAGCCTACAAACCTCAAAGCACACTTTCACTCGCATTGCTCTGCCCCAATCTACAACAATCAGTGATTGAGATCAGGGCTTTCCACGTAGCTCTGCCATCGTGGTCCTTGTTTAACGCAGGCTTACATGCAAATCCTTCCATTCCTTTTCATTTTTTCGACATGCTGGCGGACCTGGAGAAAACTTCAAGGCTTGCAAGCAGCGACACTGTCTGCAAGACTGGTGGGTTTGACAAGCGCCATGCTCCAGCATCGACCTGCACGCAGGCTCTGAGTGATTTTGCGGAACTCCTATATAACTCTAGATGTATGATTATACATATTATTATATGATATTATATGGATAATATGGAATCTTTCAAACGTCAAACTGGATTCAACTGTCAAATGAACCCTGATCTGAGTTCTCAAACTTCTGCTTTGGTATCAACAAAGCCTTCGTGATTCGGTCCACCATAATGACCCGGACAGGAACACGTGTTTCGCTTCGTCGGTGTTGAGCGCCTCTGGATCCCAGTTGTGCTCCATGTTGCAGCGCGTGGATTGCTTTTGGCCTTAGCCAACGTGAGCTTTTGGTGCGACAAATCAATACAAATCATCTCAGTTGGCATGAGTTGGCATAGCTGAAATGGCCATATGGGTGTGGACAGGGACCATCTCTCAAAGCTTCAAAGGAAAGTATGAACAAACATGAACAAACAATGCAGCAATGCGGATAGAGCATCAATATCGCCTACCTCTTGGATTCGCACCCCACCATCCTGCCAGTAAAGGTAAGCCTGCAGGAATCTGCATATCATCGCACTTGTATTCTTGTGGCACGGACATCCCTGTATGTGGTGGCCACGTGGAGAAGCAACAAAGAGTTCAGGTTGTAGCCCCTGCCCAGCCTTTGTCATGGTGCTTCTTGTGGACAAAGAAACCACCGATTGCACCAGGACCGGAGTTCAAGTATTTGTAGTTGCACCTGCAAGGCCAAGGTTAGTATAGGTCGTCGCTTGGCATAATTTGGCAACATCATGCAACAGCTGAGAGACTGACCAGCATGCTCCGTCAACTTCCCAGTCATGCAACTTCAAGTCCTACAAGAAAAGGGAGACGGCGACCGGTCTCAAACCTGCGTTTGGGAATGGGTTTTCTGAGTGCTGAACCACATTGCCAACTGCATGGGCACAATCCCACATGGCCTTTTCAAGAGGACTTCCAATCCCCATGAGTCGTGACAAACGGAACCGTCAAGGCCACCCAGCAGTTGCTCCAACATCATGAGCTGCTTTGGTGATGCTGGACACGTCAAAGAACTGACCCGTATAGTACCTGCCCGGCCATTTTGTTAGAATCCTCATGGATGGCCCTGAGCCTTTGCGAGTGCTGTTCAATTGCGATGTTGACAAATGATCTCAGCTTTTCCTTGAGGTGAGATGATAGATACATCCAGGCACTTGTTTTGTATCAACCTGCCCTGCGTAGAACAATCTACATGAGCGAGGACAAGCTATCAATTGTCGCTAGATAGCCCCAAGCTTGTTGTCATTGACGACTTCCAACAAAAAAATCCAACCAACGTGCCGAACACTGGCGCACTGCACGGTGCCAAAGCAAACAGCTGCAAGGCAATCTCCAGCGGCCTTTGCGGAGTTCTGTATGGACTTTCTGCGATTCATCCACAGGTCACAGGCCCTCCCATCCTGTTGCCATGAATGCAATCAGGGTTGACCAAGGCAATCCTTGAGGCAAAGACTTGGATTGCGGCCACGATGTCCTCTGTGCGCAGCAATTCCTCCCCCGCACGAGCCTTCGGTTGGCGAACTTTCAATCTTTGAGTCGAAGAACGAAGTTCGGCACCTTGACTGGCAAGAGTACCTCCTTTGGGTCTAGCCCATGAAGCCGTGCCTGTCATAAGGGCAGTGGGATATTCGGGGCCATTGGAGGCCTTGGCCTTTTGAATCGGGACTGAAAAGGAGGAGAAAAGGACATGAGAAAAAGAGTAAGGCCCGCTTTCAGGAGCCTTACCTTCTTTTTCCATATCCGTTTTCAGACCCAGATTCCAAAAGCTGACAAATGGATATTCCACACTCTTCAAGTGTTTGAAGTACGTGTCGCCATAATATTTTATGCCCGACCTGTGATTCGAAAGCAAAATAGTCGGAGCCAAAGGCACTGGCCTGGTCCCAAGCAGAATGTTCACATGAAGAACATGAAGGGAGCAATTGTATTAAGAACGCCTCACTCACAAATGTATATCCCACACAAATAAAGGGCATTGCTGCATTGATACATCAACTGGTAGCGTGCATGTTTTCTTCCTTGCCCTTTTGCGATCTTCACCAAGAACCCTCTGGATGCATTTTGACTCACACTTACAGAACTATTTGAAGCGCAAGCTCTCGTGCCTCTGATGCAAACGACTACAGCACATGACTTCTCAAAGGGAAATCACCAGCCAACAATTTGCATTCTATTCTTTCTCCCGGAATTGAGGCAATGCAGAATTTTGATTTATCACACATTCATCGGCCTCATACATGATCTTGTTGCGCTTGCCATGTGGCCTGTAGAAGGATACCTGAAACCATCAGCTCAGCACCAATATGCACTAATACATCTGAGATCACTCGTTTCCAACTTCTGATCACATTGACAAAAAGCTGAGGTGCGAAAAGCAAGTGCAAATTAACGGTGAGGCTGTTCATGACAGCTACCTTGCACAGTGCTTGCGTGTGGTGACCGGGGGCACATTTCGCAACAGTAGACGTCACGCCTCTGATTTTTCCGCGCCAACAATTGCAGCACTTTGCCTCACAACGGCAGCTCACAGCTGGGTGCAGTTGAAGGCACTGAAACACTCAGGAGAGGTTGAACTCCTCATGGTGGCTCACTGTCAAAGGCTGAAACTCAATGACATTCTCATCAATGGGCACCCAGGGTCGTGTCCTGTGGAATCCAAGAAACACATCAACAGAAGTGATTCCGCCTGTGTTTTTGCGTTTTTTTACAAATAACATTCCAAACACCCCTGGGACCCCGACCCGGTGAAGTGGCCATTCACCCCAAGCGATGCCCACTTATCCAGCTCCTGCATCTACCAAGTCCGCCCAAATTGACCAAGATCTGATCAGCTGATACCAGTCCCTTTCACTTGTCTGCTGGTGGGAGAATCGACCAATGGAAATAGTTATAAATAGTTGATGTTGACTGCATTGTTGCCTAGACCAACTTGGGAGCAACGGCATGGAGCGTCCTCACAAACGAGCTCCTTAGTCCGACTGGGCTGCAAGCCCAAGGAATTCCTGCAAATGGCAGCTCGTCAAAAGAGAGCGAGGGAAACAGAAAAACGAGTGGTGCTGAGCATTTGTCATTCACAACTCACAACAGGTGGACTGGAAATCTTTCAACTGGTAAGGTAGGTGTTCAAAACTGCCACATCAGTGACTTTGTCTTCCCACACTGTCTATGGAGGATACCGGGTACCTGTGGAAGTCTTGGATAAACCAAACTCATAACGCCAGCGGCGGCGCACCCGACCAAGTAGGTGCACTCTTCATCTGGCGGTGCCAGTGATGGGTCCGTCTCTGGCAAGCCTGCATTTCGTGGTACCTGTTTCGGCAACACTTCAGGTCTTTACAAGTCAACTCTGCAAGATTTGCATCATTTCTGCAACATTATATACAGTATAAATATATATATATATATGTATTATATACACACCAAATATGTGAAAATGAACATATGGAACAACACATTCAGGATCATGAAGACCATCCGACACTCCGACATTTTGCCAAAAACCCAAGAACTCTCAGTGCACGGCCAAAAACTGACTGCGCTGATTGGAAGGCAGTGCACTCAGCTTCTTGTCCAAGGCTTGGGCCACCTTTCGCGTTGACCCACGTTGACACTCCAAATACCACAACGGTCCCAACGGTTGCATGACTCTCAATTGAAATTGGATTCACCGTTCACCCTTTAACAGCACATCATCCGTCAGTGGTCAATGCCCCAAACAACTCCTGACACGAATTGCAGCCCAGATTTGTGCTGACCTCACTTGAGGTCAGTGGGTGGCCAATGGCCTGCACTCCAACAAGGCAAATGAGTCATGAAACATCCAAGACTTGCATGATAATGGAGCCTTAGCGACTTCACTTAAGCATGCTTTCGCATTGGTGCCACCTTTTGCAGCGAGCTCAGCAAGCCAAACCTCGTCTTTCCATTAACTAAGACCCATTGTTTGAATGAAGGATTTGTCTGAGCGCATTGCTTGGTTGATTGGCCCGCCTGCAAATAACAAGAAGGCAGTATTCAAATGTGTTCACGATCCCATCATCTCACATCAAACACGCACACACACACACACACACCTTCCATCGCAATTGTGGCTTTGTGCGCGCCATTGCTGCCATTCATGGCTAAACGGCTAAACAGTTTTGGTTGCACTTCTCGCTGTTTTGCTGTGATTGGCAAGTATGGGACCCACACAGTTTCACAAATTGTTGTCAAACGCTGGGGTGCAAATCCAGCTTAGTCCGGAACTAAACTCTTTGGCCAAATTTGGAAATGTGACTGTCTTAAAACTAAGGAATAATATGTCAAAACTAAACATCAAGGAAGCAAAATGCCGGCAAAAAGAACGTTCCCATCCAATTCCCCAAAAATGTTCCGTCCTACCCCCCCCCCCGGCGGAACTCCATCAAGTCATACCGCATCCACTCTTGACGGACATCCTTTTGTATGTTTACTACAAGGAACCTATTTTTTTTATTGACATAGAATAGGAAGCACATGCCGGCTACTAGGCATCAAAACCAATCACGATCCAGTTTTTCAGGCATGCATACTTGCAGCAAGTTGATGCTCACAAGCCAGTTCTGCCGAATTAGCGTTTCGCACACCTACTCTACAATAGGAAAGGCCGTTCACTCCAGCAACCAGTACTTGCAAGTCTTCTTCTGTTGGCTTATTCATGGATGCTGGGGAGAAATCTGCATGGCATTGAACATTTAGCCCTGCTGCTTAGCAGCTTTGGGCTGGGCATTGTGTGGTGGAAAGTTTGAAATACAAATTGTTTCACTTCAATGTCCGGTTTGAGATTCCTAGAGCTCTTAGGTTTAGATGATCAAACAAACTGGATTCGTAGTAGAACCTCAAATCTGCTCGAGGAGGACATACCACAGAAGTGCCTCAGCATATGGTGTGCAAATGGCTGCTGATGGCACGCAGTCGGGTGGTGGGGGTACGACCAAAGGCAGCAGCGCCAATGCACCAGGTCTCGCGGCACCTTCATCGGTTCCTCAGTCCCAAAATCTATCAAGCTGTGAAACTCAAGGTGCACCGTGCCACCACTCCCTGACCAACATCTGGGCCCTTTGCAGCTCTCCCCAAGATGATGAATGATGATGTGATCACATCTAGGAGTCTGACGCATGGGGAGCAACTCCACCAACTCGAATCCCAGGAGAGTACCTGTCTAATGCAATTCTAATTCTTGTTCCCAATAGCATCCTTTGTTCCTAGTAGTGCGGCCAGGAGCCCCTAGTAGCGTTCTTGCTCCTAGTAGCGATGCCAGGAGCCCCGTTCGTACCGAAGATGCTCCTACCTGTGGCTGCTTCGGATCCCAAGCGTCGCACGGTTCGCATCTGCGATCCTCTCATCCTCAAAGTCATTCCGAATCCGCGTGATAAAACTCCATTGCGTGGCATTGGGTGGATACCTCAGAGGCACGTGCCGCTGAGATGCTTTGCAATATGCTGTGCTTGCATTTCAGCGCCAGGCCCAGGGTTGCTCACATCTATTTCAAGTGTGTAGTTGTTCCGCAGCAAGCCTGCACAATTTGAGATTGCGCACAAGTGTGCCAGTATATGCCAAGCAAATTGCAAAAGCACATTGGCGGTATGATGCTTATTGAAATCGATCTTCTGGCATCTTCTGGCAATCCAGAGTTGGAGGTCTGAAGCAGAACCAGGACTTGATGTGGCCTGCACCGTTGGGGAATCTGACAACTACTGATGCGTTGTCATAGCCCCGGCAGGTCATGCCTGATGCAAAAATTGCAGCAAAAGTATCATGATCTTGATTCTTCGAGGTCTTCTTCAAAACAAGAAATTGGTGGGGCATGGTGGGGCTCAATGTCATGTCAGGCGCAGGTGCCTGGCCTTCAGGCGGGAAGACAAACCCAATGTCATACCCTCTGGTGCTGGTGGGCGCGTCGACTTGATTGCCTTGGAGGCCACATCCTTCAGAACCATTTGGTCACCCCATAATGAATGGTTTCAAAATTTGAACAGTGACAATGGTCTCCATGATCCTCCATGTCAACTCATGCTGACATGCTTTCCAAACCTCCAGGACTCCGGCTCCACCGAAGTCGGAAGCCAGTGCAGTTTGTTGGGAAGATGAAACCATCAGGCCCTGACAGCACCTGAAACATGGTCACATATAGCTGCTTTGGGACACGCTAGCCAGCACCGCCAGTGAAACTTCAAACAGCGCTTTTTGACTCCCGATTGCAGTTGCACACTTTTTCCTGAGGTTTAAGAGGCGGTAGGGTTCATCTGCCAGGATGAGCTTCTGCAAGGACAATGTCTCGCCCAGCGTTGAAGTGCCAAGCGCAGCTGCTAAGCCATGACGTCTCTGCTCTGGAATGCGAATCTCAATGCCTGAGACTGCTTCCTGCAGGGCCCACAGGGTGCTTATAGATGCTTATAGTTTGATGACGTCATGGATCCACTTGAGAAGTGCAAGACAACACTTTGACTTGGTCCATTCCACCACCAGCCATAAGAGAATGACCACCCATGCAGACGCTGGTGTACTCTTTGATGCTTCAGCGCTAGCCGCTAGCTACGAGTAGTGTCCAACAAAACATGAGTGGAAGATAGTGGAAGCTCGCATATGAATTTGGAACATTTTGGAACAACCTTTGCTTCACTAAGCTGGTTCCAATCACTTGAATGATGCTTGGTGTGTCCTTGGGGGAGGGGGGACCAACTGATTCTATCACACACAGTGTTTCTTGGTGGCTATCAATTAAGTATATAGTATCTATAAATCAATTCTTTTGCAACTATCATTCAACCTTCTTCTGTAAACGAGAACTTCAGCGACAACGTTTTTGGTTTGTTCTATATCCTTTTGTTTCTCTTTTCTGACCCACTCTTTGTACTCAAGCCAAACTTCCCTGCCTGAGCCAGTTGACTTGCCACCTCGAGAGTATGAACTTGTGCAGTCCAGCCTGGCCGTTCTTCTTCAATCATAGCAGCCAAATAGCTGCAGCCAGCGGCACTTCCCAAACGACCAGGATCCACACAAAGAAAGGAGCCCCCAGGTGAAAGGATCTGGTCTAATGCAGTGATCAAAAAGCTGAATGAACCAGAATCATACAGGATATCGCCGCCGACGACCAAGTCAAAGCAGCCGATCTTTGAGGTGCCTGGACTTCAAGAAGCCCAAGAAGCACTCGGCGGAACACATCGATGGAATGAAGGCCACTCAATTTTCATTCAGCAGCTAGTCCAAAATCTAGGCTCCTAGGTCTACGCTTCCCTTTCCGGCCTGTCTTCGCAAATGTGATCCAATCGAAGGGAATGCAGTCAATGGGAAGGCAGGGGTTGAGTGTGATGTTGTGTCGAAGATTTTCTAGTACTGGCCCAGGTCGATCTGACAGGACAACCTGACGCATACAAGCAATGCTCAAGGGTGACTTGACCTTGGAGGCATGCCCTGTCCAACTATGTATCGAAAAAAGTAGGCAAGTGCAGTTTCAGTTTTTGTTCTTTGGTTATTCTCAATAAACCGTTGATAATGCTCTACCCGCAGGGCTTTCCCAACAAAGTTTGGACGCTTTGGAGAGCCCTTCACTCTGGCGTGGCCTCAGCTGCACCGAGCGTTGCTGCAACGATCCCAGCCGTCCCCAAGCCACTCCCAAGTTCCAATATGCGGCTTCCACAGATACGCTCCGCGTTGATGCTCATCCATGCAGAAAGCACCTGAAGCGGGTTTAGCACAGCACTTCTCAACAATGAGGAAGGTAAATGAAGGTAGTATGTTTTCGGGTTATGCTCGAATGTTGCATGTGGTATCCGTCCAGCACAATATGATCTGCAAGGTTTCGCCTGCTTTCAACACTGCTTCGGCCGATCTGGGTGACCTGACTAGGCCGGCTCCCCATAGAAGCTCGCCCTGTTCCAAGCGCTTTCTCGCAACATTCCTGCAACTTTCTGATGCAATGGACTCGACCTCAAAAAGCAAAATACTGAATACCCAGTCCTCGCTTGGTGCCGGTGACCTTCAAACAAATCGAGCAAACAGGGCCGCTTCATTCCTCAAGGCACACTGGCAAATCATGCACCTCTTTTATTTAGGCGCCCTCACTTGGGCGACAACCATCAAAATGTCTATGAAGTGCCAGTATTCTCAAACCTTTGCCTTCAAGACTCCAGGAAAACGCAGCTTTACAAAACCTTCTGGCGAATCTTCAGGAATGCGCTTCCTTGACTTTGCCTGCTTGGCTATCTTTGGCTGGCTGTCATCGCCACCAGATGGCACAAAAACCATCGGTGCACATGCCAGCTCTTGACATGCAGCTCGCAAGACAGCCTCTGGAGATGATGGCGCCATGGCTAACACACGACAGAATAAATAGGCCGCTTGAATTGTAGAAGAGTTCTCAGATCGAGTTGCAACAGCTTGGTGCAATCTTTGTAGCCCGGCTCAAAAGACTTATGGTCCTTTTAATTGATCGCAAATCCATGGTTTGATGCATGAGCTCGCTGCCTGCCAGGCCGCATCTGCCGATTGCTATCTGGCAAGCCTTTATCGTGTGAGCCTGGACGACTTGGTCATTGCTTGGGACAAATGGCTGCGGCGCTTCTTTAAATGGTAGCAGGCTTCAATCCCTTCTCATAGTCTCATAGTCTGCCTTACAAGCACGAAGCTTCGCAACTAAAAGCAGCAAGGTCAAGCACAAGCTCATTGCCGATGTCGGCTTGATTGAGGATAGTGGACTGCGTGAAGACCTGATCCGCAAATTCACGTGAGCACACTAGTTTCTGCGCCAGCAGCCAAATGACCCCCAATGTATGCGCACTTGGGACCAAGCGATTCGCAAAGGGTTGATTTGCCCGAAGTACGGGAACGTCGCTTGAATGTCCACCTGCAGAAATAACTCGGATCTCAGATCTGATCTTTTGTGAACATTTCGTGCCTCTAAACGTCCAGTAATGTCGAAGCTTTGCACATAGTCTCGCATGTCCAGTGTCTTGGCGAGAGGACCTGACATTGCAGTCCATGCTGGAAAATTTGTCTCAATATCTACCGTGGCCATCGTTGGCCTGTCTAGCGTTAGGTGGTTTAGCACATCTTCAGCTGCATTGTAATTGCGCTTCAGCTGCTGGGGATTAAGCTGATAATGCGGAAGTTCCAGTAGTTCTGCTGCGGCGTGAACTCGGGATTTGACCTCAGAATGTAAATGTTTCTCGCCAAATGCTGTCACCGTATCGCGTTAGCTACTGGTGCACACAAATGCTACCCTTAGTTCTCCCATTCTTCAACCTACCTGTCTTTTCCGCACCTGTTATCATTATCTGTATCCACAGCTGATAATCTCAACCTCCGACGCATCACCTCAGCCTCCAACACAAACACGAAGAGTCGGAAGGGTGAGTTTGGTTGGAGGGGGTCAGAGGTGTCCATCGTGAACTCCGCAATGTTCAGCTCCCTGACCTGTGTGCATTCGCATTCGGTGAGAGAACTGACTGTCTCTCACTATGCATGGAAAAGCTGCCGAAAGGATGGTACAACAGTCTACCTGGACATGGCTCAGGCAGTGGCATAGCAGGTGGTCGTATTGGCGAGTCCATCGTCTGTGCTGAAGAAGGCACAAGTAAAAATAAAGCCTGAAGCTCAAACATTGTCTGACAAGGTCGGAGGGTGCCGGGTGGCTCAGCACACTCTTCAGTCCCACTAAAAAGTACAAACATGGACCCACACAAGCAATGCTAGAGCATGAATGGCCAGCCAAGCCATCCAAGGCACCATTTGGTGCAGTGATCTCGATCTTTGAACCTCCCGGGATGTACTTGTCGCTCATGATGTAAAACCTTGGAACAGCTCTTTGACTGGAACGGCCGAACCTGCCGAACGTCAAGCGTCTGAAGGTTACCATGATCACCTTATGACTCCAGGTTCGCGCAGCAAGGTTCCCTTGATCTAGGAAGGCTGCTCCAGGCGGTGCAGCGCCAACAACGTAGTTGTGTCGGAAGGAGTCACGCGGACTTCCTGCAACAATGAAGGTTCTATTCAGTTCAGATGATTTTGCAGGTTTTTGAGGTTGTCGCGAAACCAGCAAAACCGGGACAGATTGAGAGGTAGCAATTGACATCATTGCATTGTAGGAGCTCTTTCAATCAAATCTATTCAAATCTGTCAAAGTCTGGAAACAACTTTGACCTCGTGCGAGTTAGGTCCCCCGGGGCCCTGGGGCAGCATTGAGGAATGACGCCGCACCTTGATCTGCTCCAGCTCGAAACCAGGGACACTGCGCCTCCGTTTGGCAAAATTGCAGTTGGGCTAAAAAGCTTGGATTTGCTACTGGCACCGCAGCATGATAGAAGTCAAGTGGCCGCAGGTGGAGGATGACCCCGTTTTGCAGCGTTTCGAACCGCCACACCTTGGAGCTTCGCAAGGTGGGCAGCGGCACAGGCGCTTCAAGGCACAGCATCATCCGCTAAGTAATGGGCATTGTCGGATGTAGCTGGCGTCCGGAACGGGTTTGTCAAAGCAAACTCGAAGGCGTAGTCCAAACCATAGGAGACTTCCTGCTCGATAGTCATCTCCACATACCACCTTGCAGCATTCAATGTGGACAAATCTCATTGATGAGCTTGCATTTGATCAATTCTGTCATGATTCATGATGATAAATGCTGCTGCGATGTTCTTCCAAGAAAGGTCGGGGCTGGCCACTTGCTTCATCGTAACCGTCAAAGCAGTAAGTTCCAGATGGAAGCGACAAATAGGAAATCTCAGCCGTTTCAATTCGTTTCGTGGTGCTGATTCTAGACTGGATCGCACACAATCGCAGCTATCATTCCCTTTGAATGCTTAGCACCAGGCAGTGGTTGGGAAAGGATTCTTTACGAGCTCTCGGCCAACATCGTAGGACAGTGAGAATAAGTTCAGTGCTGTACCGCAGTCCTGCGATCAAAGCTGGTGATACCGATGCAGAGTCAACTTGGTGGCAAATGGAAGCAGGATCGGGTGCATGTTGGTCTGTTGTCCGGCAAAGGCTGGAAGGTTGGAGGCAGCCAAAGCCGCATTTGACTGGTCCTCAGTTCCAGGTTAACCTAGCACAAAATCCCCCGGCGCTCTCCCCGAATCCCTCCCTCCCTCCCTCCCTCCCTCCCTCCGTCTCTCGCGCTGGCTCTTGTTCTTGCTCTCTCTTTCCTCCCTCTCTCTCTCTCTCGAGTGTCCGATATGACTGTCTCAGTGCTCGGCTGCCCTGTCTCCAGTGATGCTTTCAGTGGACTCTTCAGGTTGAACCAAATTCCCACCTCTCAAACTGGGAAGCATCCACTGGGTCAAAAGTTTATATTATTAATATAGATAATATAGTGTGTTTGTTTTTTTCTTAAGTTGAGGGGAGGTAAGCCGCTAGAGGTAACTAGGTAGCAAGTAGAAGCTAGGTAGCTAGTAGCTTAAATAGCTACTGCCTAGGACGCAGGATAGCTCACGCACTATTCATTCGGTTCCTAGATTTTTAGGGACATTTAAGTTCCCCCCTCTCTAACTCTCTCCCTCCAGGCATTGCTCTGCAGCAGTCTGGGATTCCAGCCACATTCTGCGCCAAAGGCGACAGAACTGTCCCTGTGACATAAGCTCCTGAAAATTCACCAAAGATCTTGAAGCCAGTGACGTTGAGATTCACATTCAGCCTTAGAGTCCAACTTCCTACCCAAAGGTGTGTGATGTGAGACCAAACTGCCGAAGTCAGTAGTTCTGTAGAAGGTAAGTCGCTGGCAGCACTTCAGACCCCGAGGACAAACTCAAGGCTTCGAATGTCCAGACCTTCTGGCTGTTCTCACGGCATCCACTTCTGTCTTGTGAAGAATGAGGGGGTACGTCTGGTCTTGTCAGGCGATGCAGGTAGTAGAAGCCAAGCATTTGCACTCTGGAACCACTCAAAGTCACAAGGAACATCTTGTTAATTCGAAAAGTCGGCCCAAACAATAATGTTGCCATGCACATGCCCACTAACTGAGGGAAAAAAGGTAGAAACGTTGCTGGTCACATGATGGCCCTCACTCCACATGAACCCAGTGCAAACTGAACAGCACAAACTACTGTGACATGCTCACCCATCGTGGTGGTGACGCTTGAACCCTGATCGACTTCAATTTACAAGACCAGGTCTGAACAGAAGGTCGAAACAAACGGCCAGCAAACGGGATGACAATGATTGACAGCGTGTAGTTACGTTCAAGTGGCTCGCAGCTTTCAAATGTGAGCGCACAAGTCTGAGCTGCATGCATTTCTTTGTCTTGTTGGGGAGATCTCCGGGTTGCTGAGACCGAGAATGATGACCTGACAACAGCAAACTACAAGAAGTAGTTTGCCAAATCAAATTGGTCAGCTCATCTATTCATTCGTGCCGACCGTCTATCCAACATCTGCAAAAAATGGGAGCACGTCTTTCAACTCCATGTCTGGGCAGCCACACCAATGGCACGTTGGCTGGATAGCCCTCTTCAATGGCTTCCAACCTTAATGAGGCCAGGTGAAGTGCCATGCCACACACACACAAGGTATGCTGTGCTGGAATTTCTGAACAATGCCTTGCTGTGGCGAGGATTCCGAATGATGCTACAACCAACAGCAGGATAACATATTTTGTTATTTTTCGTGTTCAAACAGCTCTTTGCGCACATGGTAGCCAATAACTGCTCAAAATCCCCAAAACTGGAACTTGTATGCCTAAATCATGCCTCAATGCACACCAATGCCTAGGGCAAACCTATCACTATAACGATATGTGGACCCATGCAGGCTCCTTCGAGTGTAGGAATGAAGCTGATGCCTCATGACGCATGACCGTCATGACCGTTGCATCTCCTTTTGCCTGCACTTGGTGTAGCACGCGGAGGTGTCCCAGCAAGGCTTGCCGCTCACAGTGGGGGTGCCGATCGTGATCAACAAAAATGGCTGGAAGCAACTTCATCTGCCTGTCCACTCCATGGCCTTCATCAGGATCTGAACGGCCATGTTGCCTTTGCAGGCAGGCTGAGTTTAGAGCACCTGCACTCCACGCCACCAAGTTCTTGGCGGCCGGTTCTCGCTCAAACCAGGCGTTGCTCTGCTGCAAGGACCTCAATGCATAAATTTGAGCTTGGCTTTGCCAGGGTGGACACTTGCACCGCCTGCCGCTTGGCATGTCGAGAGCGTGCTCTAGTGCTAATCTGGTAAAATGCTGTCCTTGATGGCTCAGCCGTTTGCTGGACTTGCGCAACATGTGGGACATAGAGGTGTCACTACTAGTCGGCATCTGAGAAGGGGGGACGAAAGCCAGCAGCCGCCAAACGAGTTTCTCTTTTTCTGGCGGGCGTCACGGCACAAGACACATGCTCGGCAGCTTGCGAGTCAGCGGTGCCGTGGATGCGGAGTGGCGTATGCAATGGTGATGGAGGGAGCAGAGACGCAAGCCGGGCGGCTTTGGGATAAGTTTGGTATGAAAGAAGTAGTGAAAGAGAAATGCGATACGTTGTATGTTGGTGTAGGTCATCATCACAAGGCAATGGCATGTGTTTGTCACATGCAGGAAGGTATCTTATGGAAGTTGGAAGGTGGCATCAGCGTTAGCAAAGGGGAAATACCGTCAGAGTTCGAGTGGTGGGATACCACGCACGCGGGCGCAGGAAGACCTTTTCCATAGTCACCGTCGCCGCCCGCGCGAGTACGGCATGCGTTTGAAAAGAGGCAGTTATGTGTTGTTACATTTGGAATGTTTGAAGTTTGCAATGCATATCGCGGCGCGTCGAGAAGCGGCATTCGTTGATTTGGAAGAGTGAACGGGCACGTCTTAGCCGGGACACGGACGTTTGATCCCGCGGCGCAGAAGGGGAGGTCCAGCGGGAGTAGCTTGGGCTAGCAAAGGAGTGAGGACTTGTGTGCCTATCGATGCACATGCCTGGACTTGAGTGAGTCATGTTCTGGCTCGATCCAAAACACACTCTTTTTCCTTTAAAGGGCCTCATAAAACGATCCAAACACCTTCTTTGCTCTTCTCTTTCTTATCAACTCTGCGCCTTTCTCACTCAGAGGCTTTGACTTTGGCACCTGCGTGTGTAGATCTTTGGGCCGTGGACCCAGGCTGACTGGATTCGGCCAGGGCTGCCAGCAAAAAGGCGACGTCATGAGTCAGTAGTATTTATCTATCTCTCTATCTCTATCTCTCTATCTATCTACCTATCTATCTGCACCGGCAAGCCGTAAAAGCGTTCGGTGCGTGTGGACGCCGCGAGAAGCATCCACTCGACCGAGGACATGGTGCAAGTATAGTTTTTGCTAGGGGGCAGGAGCCCTATGCGGATATGTAGTCAACCTCGCAGGCACCCCCACCGAAACTCAATCAAAGTTCATGGACTTGAACTCATGTCACTTTCGGTTCTCTATGGATTTCGCGAGTTACGGGTTGTCCTGGGAACTCGTATCCTACATGCGGCTGCGGTCTGCTCTGTACGTGGGTCCCTGTCTCCCGATTGCTCAATGCCCATTGTCCAAAGCCCTTCATGATGCTAACGATGCACTACTCGGTACATCACTCGCATCACTAAACCCAATTTTCACTGCTTTTCTGACCCTCGCTTTGGAGCACTCCCCCCTCACTTCGTTCGCCGTGAAAGCTCAAGCCTAGCCTATTGGCTGGCTTTCGTAACAAATAGCAGTTTAATGCATACAAACATATTGTAAAATATACAACAAAAGATTCTATGTCAAAACTAAGTGGCCCAAACTTGATTGCTTTTGTAGACTGTCAGTCTGATGCTGCGTGAGCTGGGCTTGTGCACATAATGAAAGTAGTGCCGAGCAAGCTGGGCTGTAAGGCACCCTCCTCACAACGGCATGCACTTTCTCTTGCACCTCTGTCTGGTCTACAATGCTCTCGAAGGATTCCATGATGAAGCCTTCGTCCTCAAAATTCGGCTTCTCATTCCGTGTCAAACGGATGTGGCCAGTACTTGCTTCAATCCAAGCTTCTGCACGTTGGATAAATGCAGGAATCCTTAGCTAGATGAGACGTGGTGACCGACTCTTGGTCGTAGAATATGCCGTTACCGTGTCCGCAAAATGTATGCTACATCCGGTTGATAGTATAAGCAGCACAAGTGGCGCGTGTGTATATACCGTATGTGTTTAAGTCTGCGGCCATACCTTGTTTCTACAAAGCCAAGTAGGAACGCATGTTAAAGCGAACGCTAGCACATGGACATACACGCTCACATACACTGCGGTGGGACAGCTATTCAGTGGTTGGAAATTTGGAGGTCTAGCAGCACGTCTTGTATACTGCCGTAAGCAACTCAATCTCAAACTGAGAGGGGCAACATACCAAGCGTTTGCGCCAGCTACAAATGTAACGTGGCAGCATGCTTCCTTAAGTGGTTGGTACATTGAAAGGGCATCGGTAGACGTGTCGTCCCCCATCGGTTTATGCAGGTTTGATGCAGGTTTCCAACATCCAAAACCACCCTGTGACTACTTTAGTATGCACTAGATTTTGTCAGATGCTCATATAGAAATAGATATACTAGAGAGACAAAGGTGGGCATATAGGAAACAGCTGAGATAGCAACCATAGATATGTGCATCTTTTTGTGAAAGGATATCGCAGTGAATAGTCATGAGTCCTGGAGCCCTTCAAAAGTGGCCATCGTCATCATCAGCCTTTCGTTCAGAGCATTCCGGCGTTTTGTGGCAAACGAATATAAGAACACCCGTCGCTGCTAAAGCCTCCTTTCCAGTCATCAGGGGATTCAGTGTGACAACCCTTATCGCATCTTTTTGGTAGGCAACCATTGATTTGCTAGGCAGCCCGTGTGTTCCAGCCAAGCGTCTGCACATAGTTGGAGTTTGCTTCGCTTGCCTTCATAAGACTTCTGATGCTCAAGGAATCCAGGTCAATCCTTTCTTGATGAAGCAATCCAAGGATTTCCAAGGATCGACGCCAGCACCCACTGCCACCCCGATCCAAGCCATCAAGCACAGAATTCAATAGGGTCATACTTGGCACCACTCGCTGCCCTTTGGTCAAGTCCAGGAAGTGAAGGCAGCTTGGCCATTTTCCACCCTTGCCACACGCACTGACCCCTATGCCCATGGTAACAAGGTCAGGCCTAAGCTTTGAACCTGTTTTATCGTTTTTTTTGAGCATCCTGAAAATATTAAGCACCGATTCCCAAAGAGTTGGCCTCATGTCCAAATCACCAAGCCCAACAATGTCTGGCTCATCAATGGCTCCTTCGCAGGCGGCCATCGCAGCTCCAAGCATTGGCAGGCTTTGAGGGACCGCGGCATGAGGCAGTGAGTAGAGTAGGCCCAGTGAGTGGCTCCACTGACGGCACGTGCCGCAAGAACTTACGGCAGCACCGCTGCAGGGAGCATTCGGCTGAAGTGAAGCTTCACAAATCTCATCCATGAGTTGAAGTGCACATCTCCAAGATCCACCCTTGTGACAAGCATTCAAGCATGCGCCAAATGTAATTATATTCGGTGTAGTGCTGGCCCACTTACCATGACAAAGACACTGCAAAGCACTTCTCCACTCGCTTGCTGAAGCGAAGGTATTGACAGCAGTGCCATAGGTTACTTGGCTTGGTTCAACTGTTCTTCGTGGCATTTGGGCAAAGAGCTCCCAAACCAACCTGACATTGCTGGCGAAGTTGGCCATCGCAGAATTGAAAGAAACCTCATCCACCTGAATAGTAGGCTGTGACAGGAGGCCCGCGGCCAAGCTCCAAGCTTGTCGACTTCCACTGATGACCACATTCAAGCAAAGTGTGTCAGGCTGTGGTCTCCGGGGCGCACCCCAAATCATCGACGCGAGCAGGGCCAAAGCCATACCCCACTGACCAGCACGGCCCACCACACCCAGAACCGTACCCCAAACGATTGGGCTGAGGCATCCGAGGCAGTTCTCACAATTTACACCAAAACGGCATACGCGTTGCCACACACTGTTGCAAGCAAGGTTGCTGAAGCTCTTTGCCCCAATGCCACACGAAAAGACATCTTGTTTGATGCCGGCCTGCTGTAGAATGTGCAAAAGGTGCAAGCATCTGTGCCATGGCCCTGTTTTGAAAACGCAGGCGTTGGCAGCTGAGTTGCCAAGTGTGCTATCCAGCTGGGCCCTGAAGCTTGCGCTCTTCTGCAACAAAGCCAAGGCCTGCAGCCACTGCTTAGCATCACTGAGATGCCCAGTTGCTCGTTTTACATCCCAGTCATCCCTGAGCTGAAGCAGGGCCCATCTCCAAGAGACCTTTTGTTGACGGTCGGCCTTGCGTTTGGCATCTTTCGGCATTTGACGCACAAATATGCACAGAACTTTGCTCACTATGGCCAAAAGAGACGGCTACAATCAGCACGTTGAAGATGGACCAACTTCTCACCCAACTGAACTCTCAAAGGGTTTTTCTTGCTTTGTGAAGCATCCTATGTGCATAGAAGTTTCCGGGGTATTTGTGTGCTACATTCCTACATCATTCTTTGGGGAGCGCTGTGCACCTTTGCTAAAACGCCAGTCACTGCCAGCAATGTTCCAAGAGTCTGTGCAGCGCCACGCTGCCCAACCTGCCCTCTGAGAGCAAAGCTCAACCACATTCAAGCTTTGCCGCCGTTCCACCTGAGTTGGGCTCCGGCATGTCAACGAATTCACAAAACATCAATTCTGCAACTCAGGCCTGCTGAGGGAAGGTGTATCCAGTCCTTAAAGACACCAAACTGCAAGAAGAGAAAGAGCAACTTCAGCCGCACCGTCGGCAATGAACTGCCAAACTGGGCCCCGATCTGAATAGCAGGGCCAGAAAAGGCAGCATTCTCGCCTTTCAATCATGGCAGGCTGAAGAATCTGAAAACCAACCAAACTTGACAAAACAAGCTGACTTAGGCCTCGCATGTACTCCGACGGAAAGGAGATCCGAAGGATGGCCCGGGGATCACACCTGGGTGGAAACGGGATGGAATGCAAGCACAAACACCGCAGCGTCATTCGTGTCACGCAGCGCGTCATTTCGCGGCGCTCTTTTGCGGTGCGAAAACTGTACAACTTCGCCACGCGGGACCGGCATCGCGCTGCTGCGAGAGCGCGGCTACTTCTGCTTCAGTCAGAGTCCAGCTCAATTGCGTCCATTGCAGTTGGTCGGAGGTGACCAAACCTTTCGCGAGGTGCAAGAGGTGAGTTTGGTGCTGTCATGTTGACATCTCTTCGAGCTTCGGCATCTTGCTCTGGAGGTGATGCTGGTGTTGTCAGCGGTGCTTGTTCTCGGGCTTCTGGTACTTCACCCAGGAGTGTTTCGTTTTGATTTCGAGCTCCTTTGCCTCGACCCTTGCCGCGACCTCGGCCCCCTCGAGGTGTAGAGGTCTTGGCTCTCTTCGTTGTAACCGCTTTGGCTTTAGGTGCTCTGCGTGCTTTGCGTTTGGGCGATGCGACCTGTGCTGGCTCCCCACACGAATCGGTGGACAAAGATGAGGAGGAATCCGAGGAATCTGAACTCGTGGAGCTGTCTTCAGACTTGGACTTGCTCTTGTCTTCAGACTCTGAATCTTGACATTCATGCCCTCTCTTTTGTGCCTTTGATGCACCCTCAGAGGAGCTCGAGGAGACCTTCAAGTCAGTCACCGAGCAATACAACCAAGCGTTTGCAGTGTTCTGTTTGGTTTTCCTTTGTTTATTTGGACTTTGCATGCCAACCATCTCCTCAGCCCGCCTCCTCAACATCACACTTCTCTTGAAGCCACTTTCGAACTTCATCTATGTTGCTGCCGTTGCTACCAGGTCGCCACCCAGGCAAACTGTTGGCCACCCGCTCAGAGAGGCTAACACATTTCTCCAAGTTGTCGTTCAGTTTCGCTTGGTCTTCTGGCCCTACCTCGTGCATGCAATGCTTCTTGACTGGAAACAAGTCCGTGTAATAGCTGGATCCATCTCCCAGCACAGATCCAGGGCCCATCAAGCTGTTTCCTGACACTCGTTCATACTCAACACCAGGAACGGATTCTGTGCGGTGTCGGCTCATGTCCGCCTCAACCGTATCCTGATGGACAAGCACCTTAGGTTCAAGTGACCGACCGCCGGCCCCATATTCAATGTGCTTCCCTGCCAATTAAGTTCCAGGCGTAAAAGGTCGGTCTTGCCTTGGAATCGTGCATCACCGCAGTTTAAAAGGTCAGAGAATTACAAACAAGTGACTGACCTTTTGTTCATCCTTCAGCCAAGTGTCCCCATTGGCTTCCCAACGTTGTCTCTTTGCCGGGCCCCATCGGAGCAACCGTCCCAAACGTTGCTGTTCTTGTCGGCGGCTGGCAAAATGCCCACCCATCTGGATCATAACCTGAGAAAGCTTGCTAGGGACCATGATCTCTCGCGCAAACCAAGAATCCTCACAGCTCTTCCATCTATCTATCTCTGTATTTCTACATGCTTGCATACACGCTTGTCTAAATTGATGCAAACACATGCAATCTATATAATTATATATCTAATGAATACTGTGACGCAAGTAGTCAAGGAAGCAATATCTCGGGCTGCGCCATGGGACAGAGAGCTCTGGGAAGTCTGCGCTATCATCCAGCACATGCGTAGCAACCAACGCCAGGATCTTTCTTTGCCTGAAACGTTCCAAGTACTCCTTTGTCTGCGCAGCTGGTACTGATCCATCGAGGGGAATAATGCCAAACATGGTTGCTATGAGCCTAGCTTGCTCACATCGCTCCACAGTGATCAAGAGCGAATCATCAGCATGTTTTGCCAGCAAATGCTCTAGAACTGTCCACTTTCCGCCTGACAGGCATACAGCAGGCGTCAGCGGCTGCTTGAAAAGCTTCCGCCATGGGCCAGCAACAGGTACCGATACTTCTACGCAGCGGACGGGTGCAAGGTACGTCGGAGCGAGGGCGGCAAACGTCTCACGGAAAACACATCTCCCCAGCAGTGGCCATGGCACTTCTCCACCTTCATCGCTTGCTTCGCTTGGTGCCCCGCTTTCTCGCAGCAGCGTCGCCGTGAGACCCACCAGTCTTTTTGTCTTTTGAGCCAGGAGGTTCTTCAGAAGGTCCCCTATCTTTGGGGCAGGGACCATATGGCACTCATCAGCTATCAGCAATCCTTGCGCGGCCGCCCGGAATCTGGCAGCGATTGATCCTCCAGCGCCTTCATCAAACGACCCACCTTCCCCAATACCATCTTCTTCGCACGGAAGCTTTTTCGCTGCACGACGGCGTTCAGATAGCATCCGATGATAGGTCACCAAAACAATCTTTGCACTTCGCAAGAGCTCTCCATGCTCTCCAGGACTGTGCCGCCCGGCTTCATATGCAGCAGCCTCCCAATTCTCCTGTAGTTCACGTGACCATTGTCGAACACCTTCACGACGAAGGCACAGGACAACTACACAGCCCGCAGGATTGGCGGCGAGGAACTCTGTTGCAATGGCTGCACCCACTCGAGTCTTTCCAGCTCCGCATGGCAAAACTACACAACAGTTCTCTGGCAGGGCCTCCCCTACAGCATCAACAGCAGCCTTTTGATATGCTCGTAGTGAACGCATGTGCGTGAGCTCTTCTGCCTCTAAATTGTTTGGCTCTTTTGGAATTCTTGAGTCAAGAGAGGAGTGTTGCCCAAGATCATCGGCTTCAAGGTCAGAAAAGCCTTTTGTGAGCCACTCCTGCCACTGAAGTATCTGTTCTTCCGTGGCTCGTGAGTCTTCGCCACAAAAGTCTTTGAGCAAGCGCTCGTTGCCACTTAAAGCCTCAAGATGCCAATTCACGTAACAAACACGCTGGGAGAAAAGGGCAAAAGGTGGACATATGCGCAAGAGCTCTGTATAAATAAATCTAGCTACTGCCTTAAGGCATGCTGTCTTTAGCTTTTTGGACAAATTGCGAACGAAGAGCTAAAGATTTGGGCACAGTCCCTTCCCTGACAGCGCTCCAAACGCTAACGTGGTGTCTGGCCAACTTGCAAAGGCTTCGCACAGCTGAGGTTGGAGTGTGTAGTGCCACTGCATAGTTGGCCAGGCAGCCTGACAGCCTTCACACGGGGGCGACATGTCAGCTTCAATCAGTCCTCATGGTGCAAGACTAGCTGACCAGCTTTTCGTGCTGCATGGCGTGTTGCCCATGTCATGTGTCAAACTTCGTCCCTGCCTGGATGATACTGCCCCATCTGCCCACGACAAAGCTTCTTTGACCTGTAGCCCCATGCAACTCCCATGCATTGAACTACCATCAACGTCCAACACTGTGCACTGGGACCTAGGTGAAACGCATTCATTAGAAACCAATCCTCAGATTTGATGATCATAACATAGCCCATGTGTATTTCAAATACATCCAATATCAACAAGAGGAGTACCAGTAGCAGTGGCTCAAGTTCAGTTTCCATATTGATGTCCAAGCTCGCCTGACCGAAATGGCAATGCCACGAAAAAAGCACACAGACTTGGTTCTTTGAGGAGGTTCTGTTTCTTCGCCCATCAAACATTATACACGCGGTTCTTGGTACATGCAGCTGCATGTACACATTATGCTTTCCTTTGAGCATTCCAGCTTGTGACCAAATATGGATGTTTGATGATGTTTACAAGACCTGCGAACTAAGCTGTCCTTGCCGTCCAAGGCTTGCTTGGATCAATTGAAGCAGGGGACGGTGGATCGCAAAGCATGAGTGGTGCGACGTCGCATCGGCCCGGAATCCAGCTGCATTGCCAACCTGAGTTTGGTTTGGAATGCAGCCATGTCCCAATCCCTAAACTTTCTGGTTCTTGTGCTACTTTGCAGAAGGAGGCGCTGAGCTGTTGTCTGCTCTGAATTTGGCCACTTATCTTCGCTGGATGATTGAATCACAGCCTGAGTTTTCAAATCTAACATTCCACCACAGCCCTGCAAACATGCTTATATATCCAAAAACTTGATCCAAAGGAAGGGCCGGCAAAAATGGCCAAAACCGAGGTGCGGCGGCCGCTTCAGCTTGCCGACGTGCTAAAGCACGGGCTCTTCCCGGGGCGGCAAAGATCGGACACGCCCACTCTTGGGCTTCCAAAAGCCTCGTCTCGGCTTGGGCTAGGCCTATGTCAACCCATGAAAAACCACCAAGAAAGTCATCGTTTTAACCCAAAATGGGCATGTGGGGAGGCTCAGTATTGACATGTATTGGCATGTCATTGAACTGCTCAAGGGACACCCAAACCTGAGCAACTGACCGTTCCTGCTCTTCAGTGGCAAGCGGCATGTGCAACGTTCTTCCATTGGAGTCTTGCAAATACTCGATTGACCTCTGTATGGTTGACCTATGTTGACCTCTGTTTCATGATGCGACATGATGTGACTTGATCTTAGCATATCATAGTACAGTGGGACTTCTAGCCGGGTGAAGGCACATGATACCCGACCTCTCACTGGAGTACCCTCTAGAATCTTTCAAAAATGGCCAGGCTTGGGCATGTTTGAGCTGGCATAGCCATACTTTTTGTGCCTCTTGCTTGGTGATGCTAGCTAGCCCTTGTTGCTATTCACCTGCCTAGCTCCTGGCTGCAGCGTGCCGATGACACAATTGTAATACAATCGTCACATCAGTCATCCACACAAACGTGCTTGTTTCATGTGGTCCGATCATCTGGGTTGAGTGCGGCGTAGTAAGTCTCAATGTCACCGTCACATAGTTTTCAATACTGCTTACCTCAAGCAATAACATGTGAAATCAAACTATTGAAGCCAGTCTGCCGGCCTTGGTGTTGGAAGGAACAATAGAGTCCACCAGGACGATGCCAATCAAGGACACACCTTGCCTTGGTCGGTTCTACATTCGATTTTGGCTGGTTCATGCCGCGAGCGTGCCCGTGGGAAAGCTCCGAGCACTTGCGGCTTCTCGTCCAGGATGGTGTTCTCACCTCAGTACATTCACAGGAAGTCCCTTCAGTGGTGAGTGCTTGAGACAAACCCAATAGACTAAAGTTAGCAGAGTGACCAACAAGCATGAACAAACTAGCATCAGCCGTTTAGACGCAAGAACGGTACACCGTATGATTTATTCCTGACGCATGAGCTTGCGACACGTTGCGTAAGTCTTTGTGTGTCTACAATGCAAGTAAACCTTTTGGCAAAAAGGTAAGCTCCTGGTGGTTGCTTGGATTTGTTTAGCAATTTTGCACGCATCAAGCTTCATGATGTCACTTCCTTACATAGGCACCCTTGAGGCTGCGTCTGTCTGAATTTCTCGTCATGAAGTGCCACCTGAATAAGAATCGCTGACAGCGCATGCAAAACGGTTGCAAGTTCACAGAGGTTCTACACTTTTATCTGGTTTCGCACGCACATGGGTTTGCTCCTTGGCATCCCGACGTGTTCACCGATGCGTTGGCCGGAGCATTTCGTGCATTGTAGCCTCAACCATGCGCCGAACAATGCACCTGGTTCCCTGTTCCAATGCCGACGTGCATGCAGCTCCGGCCTTGGATCAGGAACTGGAACAAGCGCCGAGCTGGCAGGTACACCGTCGGCGCAATGAAGAGGTCAAGAGTGCTGCCCTCAAACAGTGCAAAGCTTGCACGTGAATGAAGCAAAGAGATCAAAGAGTTTTTTTGGGGTAGAGTTGTTTTATTATCACTACTGTAGTGATCCATATACAAAGGGAGCTTCCGCATGGCCTGGCTACGGCATGACAGAAGGTCCGAAAGCTGCCCTCCAACATCACATTTTGACCTGGACAGTGTTGATGCTTTGTTCCAAACTTTCGTAGACATCTATGGCGGAAAAATAGCAACGGAGCAACATGAGCCCAGCCTCAAATCCAAGCAAATGGTTCTGTTGCCAACTCTGGCTGTCTCTTGCGAAGGGGATAGAACCATGCCTGAATGATCGGTGCTGTGTCACGTGAACCAATTGGTGTAATCGTTTCATGCCGGGCTCTAGGCCTAGAGTGATCAACTCATCCAACTCATCCATGATCACGCAGGGTTCGAACTCCAAAGCGCACGCCCTCGGCGGCCAACATCGAGTCTGATTACTAGCTCTTTGACACCGCTCTCATTGTTTTCCTCAGGCCCAAGCCAATTCTCTGTTCTCAGGATATGGCAAATCGTAACCTGAAAGCACGGGAACTTCATAGAATTGGTCATTCTGACAATTGTTGCGGTGATCCTTGTTGGCAGCCGGGCAGGTACACTCGTACACTCCAATAACGGTATGCAGACTCAAGGGTATAGAACTGAATTAGATACACCATTCAACCACCCACGCAGTCCAAAGTGTACAGTACTTGTCTTCGAGTCTTCAAACGACTCCCGTTATGCTGTCAACCGGCCTTATTTGGTGAAGGCCGCTCCTGCACTTCTTGAGTTCAGAAGTTCTGCATGCTTTGACGCACCCAATATCACAGCTCCCGCAAAACCATGAGCAATCGAAGTGCCCCATTTCGGAACCTGCCCGGCGCCCTGTGGAGACGGCTCGGAGACCAGTGGATCATAGCCTGGAGAAGCATCTGGTGTTGAGCGCCAAGCTGCCAACATGGTGATCAGCAAACTTGTGCCACCCCAAATAATGAAGCCAGCTGAGGTCAGGTCGGGTTGCAGCCGTCTCGATCACTGGACCAAAATAGTAGTCATCAGGTGCTATGATCCGGATGGAACCACCTGAAGGCACCTCCAGTCAGCGAGTTTCATTGAAGGGCTGGCTGGAGAGTGAAGCGCTTACCGTACAATTATATATGTTCTAGCGGCCTCCGTGATGGTCTGCAGCATGATGGTGAAGTTGGTATACCTGTTGAGTTAGCCAAACATTTTCACACAGAAAGTCCTAAATTAGCAGCCGGGCTGCTTTTGATGCGAATGTTGCTTTGCCAGTCCATCGAGCAAACAAGGCTAAACAAGGTGTCTTGCTTGATGTCTGGCTGCATTCTCTGCTTCTTCCTTGCTCAACTCTCCCACGCCACTGTGCCCCTGGCAGTCCATAGCCAGGATTGGCAGTCTGCACAGATGTGAGGGTGAGCTCCGGGTAAATCACCCAGCCCGGCGCTGTCCAAACCTGGCTTCATGCATCTAGCGAGGGGGTGCCTGTGTCCAATGGAAGCACGAACAAAGAGAGTCAGCTGCACCAAGATCAAATATGTTTGCGTCATTTGCCTAGTTATATAACTTTCCCTTTGGAGTCTGCTGAGGGCAACTGACATGCAATGATACGAAACCTCAAAAAATATCTCAAAGGGCCTCTTTATATAGTCCGTGCTTCGGCTTCATTCATTGTTAGAACTCCTCCACATCAAACCCTATGTTGGTCCAACTCGAAATCCTTGCCCTCCTGCCTCTTTCCCCAGCAGCGTGCTTGTCATAGCCTACAATCCCGCGCTCAGAATGCAATTGTCATGTCTGCCAAGTGTCTAGGGGATGTGGCAGCACTCGTCTCTATTTCTGTGACAACCAGTGGCCGATTGGCCCGTTTGCACACCAATATATACAGAAGGTTGACTTCTGAGTGAACATCAGTAGCCCCACATGTTGCCAGTGGAGGGAAACTTGACCGGATCCTGCACTCACAAGGTCGTTCATGTCAACCGACATTCCACGGCCTCTATCTGGAACAGATTCAGAAGCGGAGTGCTTTCAGCGTTGGTGGCGTTCATGATGAAGAACTCAAAGACAGGGCCTGAAGGAAGGCAGGAAATGCATCAGCCAGTTCCGCACAACTTCAAACAGTGATGATCTGGTCCAACCATGTCCAACCAAACAGCCACGCGCCCAGAATGACCCAAACAATTGGTGTGAACCCACCTGCGATCAAAGGCCGGCCGCCGAGGATTGGCTCTTCATTCCGCAGCATCAACCTGACTCCAAACCAGCTGGCGTAGGTGTCCGTAGATATTGCTACGGAATACCTTTCATTCCTTTCCGTTCATGCCCTTGTGAGCGATATGGAACCTCAATTCATGCCCTCACATGGTAGGCATTAGTAGGCATCACAAAAGGCAATGCGCCAAGGACGGCGTTGTGACACATCACAGCTACGCCGTGCTACGTCACTAGGCTGAAAGTTTGCTTTCCAATTCGGCGATTTGGAGAAGGAAGTTTCGGGTTTTGGCTCCTTTTCTCTTCTCCGGAGCGCAAAGGTTAACATGTTTGGACCACGATCGCTGAATGTTCACTCCGTTGTGAACAGCCTACACTGCACTGATAAGGACAAGTGCAATCTCCCTCTTTCTTTTATGTTTTGCTCTCTCTCTCTCTGCGAAAACGCTTGCGATCTGAGACCTCCACTCTGTAGGACTCACCACTTGACAAGACACCCACTCGGGCAATCTTGTCACCTCAACAAGATCGACTGTTGACAATCCGGGCCTTCTCAGCTAACTAACTAGACTGAGATCGACCGAGAGCTGCACCCCTGAAATCAGTGGGGTCGGGAACTGCAAGCTCAGCAGCACTGGATCCTCACATTCATTTCACTTGCTCACTTGCACTGGGTCAACTGTGCTCTGCTTGATATCTTGGAACGGTACTGTGTTGATGCATTCACCATTTGTAAGGCCGCCAAAAGTTGTCCCAGCAGGAGGACGGATATGCACAGTCTGCCTCAGAACATGTCTGCCCAAACCATTAACATCCCTTAACCCAGCAGGCCGTTGGCAAAATCTCTGGGACAAAGTATCTTTCCTCTCTTAGTTGCTGACTGAGGCGGCAGGGACTCATCCTTGGACAGTGTGGGCTGGTTATGCAAGTGTGGGTCCAATTGAACTCAGCCCAATCAGCCACCCAAAGGCTGAATTCACTGAATGGGCAGAACAAGTGAACGACAGTGAAAGGCCAGACCTGGAAGGTTAAACTTCAACAGATTGGCTAAGGGCCTTGCTGTCCTGAAGTGTATCCTGTAGGTCGTCGGGGCTAGACCAACCTCTCCGGGTTGCTTGGTCCGGCGCATGTAGCACACTCTTTCAAGAAACCTCGCCTGTGACAGAGTGTTGACCGCAAAGTAGCGCCTGAGCGCATACCGAATGCCAATGGTTCTAATTTGGAGACAGCTACTGTGACTAACCTTTCATATGTAAATAATGTATGTATATAATACAAGTTACTATATATGACTATATGTATCTTATTGTCTTGTATTCAAACAAACTTGAAGAGAACCTGGGAAACTCAAAGCTGTTCAGTCGTCTTTATGCGGCCATGGCGGACGATGCGAGCTGGTTGTGGGCTCACAAAACTAACACACTATTTGACTTCCGGGGGGTACAGCCACAGATTTGTACAAACACCAAGTACAGGATGTGTGCGGACCATGAAAAGATCCAAACAACAAGCAAAGCTAGCAAACAGTTGCGGACTGCTTATCTTAATTGCATCCCTCACACCTGTGACACATTTTGACACTGTGCGTGGTTTCCTAGCCATTGCCAACAGCTTCGCAGGTGGGGCAGAATGCTGAGGAGCTAGCAGTCTGGACAGAATTGGAAAGGATGGGATAACTCGATTGAGGTCGACCATGGTGCCATCCGCATACTGCGACTCGATGCGCCAGTACTTGTCCTTAGCTTTGCACAGTGCCCGGAGCGCTCCGGCACAGCGAATGTGATGACTTCAGCTTGGCCGCTGGTGAGGTCACATCCGTGAAGGTCTCACGGGGGTTCACCACAAGGGCTCGGAACATGTAGGCGGTGGCATTCCTGACGTTGAGGGGGTCAAAGCATAGCTATAAAACACTAATTACAAAACTAACTATAATCCAGAAGAGTTTGCAGAAGCACATTTGGGAGTTGAAAGGCTCAAAGCTTCTGAAGTCTCCAAAATTCCTCCGCTGTGATGGATGAAGCTAAGGGCTCAGCTGCAGTTCACGCATGAAAGGCAGCGCGATCCTTGGGATGATAACGAAATCGGTGATACACAGCTCTCATTCGGCCATGCTGAGCCATAAGAGTTGAGCTTGTGCGCGCGTGTTTTCGTTTTTTCGCCGCTCTGAGTCGAGGTCTTCAAGATGTTGCCATTGTTGCCCTGACAGCCTGTGCCCTTTGGGAAGCCCACGAAGCCAGGCCTGGCATCAGGTGTGAAAAACGTTCCACGAGGAGGACTGTGACTAGATCAATGAACAGCTCAGGGATGGACGTGAAGGTATCTAGGGTGAAGCTTTGACCTGGGCCAGCTCTGGACCCCTACCTATATGAAGACCATCGCCAACGCATGTTTGGCCTTCTGCTTCTGCCAAAGCCAATGGTTCCCCCAACCCAAAACATAAGAATCAGCAGTTTGTCCAGGGAGGCTGGTTCTTGCCCAATTGATGTCTTGACAGCCTTGACACATTACGTTTGACAGTTTTTGAACAACTCACTTCTTTGCCGCATCTTCCGTGCAGTTTGTTCCACTTCCAAGCGGCAAATGCTTGGGAAGAAAAAGCCTTGCGGAGCTGTCACAACCTGAGTTCCAAAGTTAGCCGCTAGCCAGCCCTTCCAAAGCAAGCTTGAAGATATGACTGGAAGTTACAGGTTCAGGAAGTGGCGATGGCATGTGCAGCATTCGGCTGAGGAGGCATCCTGCGCAGAAACTTTGTTGCTCTGAAATATTTTCACCATTTGGGGGTATCCACTCCTCAACAGGTCACAAATAGTTCTTGAACATCGTGAAACAGTCCGAAGTTTACACGGCTTCTGAAAGGCTGGCTACATCTCAAAAATAGTCAGCAAACGGAGCACACACACGAATAAAACCCAAGCCCCAACCGAGCAAAACCAGCTTTTTGCTCATCCATCACTGAAACACAAGAGGCCCAGAATGCCTCGTGCTCAGTTCGAAGCTAATGTCCACGTGGTTTATGGCAGCTTCTCCATCAACACCTCAGCAATCCCGCACTGCGCACTTGGTGGGCCGCCTTTTGCCGCGCTTTCAAGCTAGGCTTGCCACCATTTCCCTGGTTGTAAGCCTTCAGCATGGGATTGAGCCTCGGCCATTGAGCACACACAAACAACAGCCACTGGCCAAGCAAATCCCAAGGCACTGACACGACTTGAATTTGGAACCCATAGACCTTGCCGGTGAACCACCAAAACCAACGTGAACCAAGCAAGGCTCAAAAGTGGTGGGCCAGCAGTTTTTTTATTACACACTCACGGCTCATGAAGCAATCCGTCGAAAGCCAAGGCCCCTGACCCACGATTCGGACATTTCTGGCATCATAGTGTCTCTGGCGAAAATCCTTCCAGCATCTGGGGTTGACCACTTGCTGCTTGCAGTGAATGGGTCCACTCCACCCCTCTGTCCAATGCAAACAGCATCTGACTAGCTTAGCTGGTGTTGTCGCCGTAGGCTGTGGGGTTGCGGCGCACAACAACCGGTTCATCTTCATCGCGCTTCAGAGAGTTTCTGCCACCCTACGAGTACACCTCTGTGTGGTATCAAGGCGCTGACGTGAAACCCCAGAAGTTGCGCTCTGGTGTGAACATGGGGTTCATCACCTGCATTGGTCTCTTCAGATTCCACACCGGGGACATCGCTACAAGTAGAGGGCAGCGCTACTAGGAGATACTAGGAGCAAGGACGCTACTAGGGGCGCTCCTGGCCTTACTACTTGGAACAAGAGGGCACTACTACAAGGAACAAAGATGAACAAAGGCATCATTGACTCTCTTGGGAGCACGCCGTGACGAAGAGGCCATAGTTACCCAGTTCCCAGTTTCCGGTCTCAGCGCGCTACATGCATTGACATGTCTTCCGGACACCGACCGAAAAACCACTCTTTCGCGTCAAGCGCCAAGGACCGAAGTGGAATTCGTTTGGTATTCCTAACTAAGCTTGAGAAAGGCCCCGACCACTTGAAGCTGAGCAACATGTTGCATATCAGCACTTGCTGCTCCCATGCCCTGACCTGCGCCCATGGCATCAATGGTCAATGACACGAACCAAGCTTGCCGAAGTATGCCATCAGCTGGGCACCAAGCATAGTCCAAAAGCTGGGAACGGGAGCATCAATGCCACCCAAGTGGCCCAACCAACCTGCGCAAGTCACTTGAATTCAAACAGTCAGTCCTGAGCATCGTCTCCACACTTACGTTTAACCTGCATTCCTCTGACCTGGCCGTCGCACGCGTCCAGGAATCTGAAGCCAATCTGTGCAGGAAGGGTTGATGCATTGGGCCATTTCTTCTTTACCAATTGACAAACTCAAAACACCAGCACTCTAACCACTACCAAGCGGCCGGAGCGCGAATCTCCAATACCTCGGTGCTGTCTTTCCTGTGTCCATTCCCGGCAAAACTTGTAAAAACACCAAGCACGTCCAAGCGTTAATAGGGTAGCAAAAGACTTGCTATGGTTCAATGCCCACAGAACGAACATCAAGATCTCAAAGTATTTTGCGGGTCTCTCAAACAAAGATATGCCCAAAAACCGACAAACCCAGCAGAATTGAGTCGGGAGCTTGCATCGATCATGGCACTTCGTCACATCCCACAATGAAAATGCCCAATGCTAGATTATAATCAAAAACAATATATATGTGTGTGTACTGCATGTGCATTTGCGAGTGGATATTAGCCTTGTAGCCCGACAGTTATCAAGGCTATCCTGCGTTCCATGCAAAGCGAAGGCACTCGCGGACCTTTTCTCTCTGATGGGCGCACTTGAGCCAAAAGCGGTAAGTCGTCACACGCATGATGTACAGACTATACATACTATATGCCTGTGGTTGCACTTCCATTGACAACCCCCATGTATCCTATGCCGTCAGCTTCGGATACACATGATTAAATTCAAGGGTAGGTGTACTGTGCAAAAGGCTTCGAACTGATGCCGCGAGGCCGAAACGGACTCTGTACTACCCAACACTAACGGAACGAAGCGGACTTTTTACATATAAATGCGTGAGTAGACCTGTTGGCTGTGCAAACGAATTGTAAAAAAATAGTAATATAATCGAATTAGCCACGCTCAGAAATCTCTCAGTAGATCTTCGTCATGAGATAGTCCGGGTCTTTGTGACTTGCTCAGCAACTATAAAACGCGATCATTGATGGTGTAGACACTCTTATGACTGACAGAGGTTCATACTTGGTAAGTTGAACTTGTCTTAGCGTCCGGTATCTTCCTCGTAGTCTTCTTCTTCTTCGCCCCGACTGTAGTAATTGTCCCAATGTCTGAGGTCTCCTCTCATGGCTGGGTTGTTCCACTGTGCATCTCGGAACGTTGCATCATAAGTATGCATGCTCATGGCTGGGTTGTTCCAACTTCGATGGTTCCAATTGACTCGCTGCCAAGTAGGTTGGGAACCCTCGGAGCTTTTGGAACTCTTACCACCTTTCTTGCCTTTCCCTTTGCCTTTCGGGTCTTGGCGTTGAGCTTCTCCTTGATTTTGGTGGCTTGAGGATGCTGCTTTCGATCGCGATGGCCGTCCGCCGTTCAATCTCTGGCGCAACGCACGGCTGTGGCGGTGTCTTGTAGTCGAAGTGTTGGAAACATTCGCTCCATAGTCATACTTATCCATGTCTCGAAGGTTTTGGTATGTCTTCTTGGGATCTCCTTCATTGAGGCTGTTGTATGAGTGCATGTCGTAGGCCATCAGTTTGGAATTCCTTATCTTCCTCCATAGTAGGTCTCGTAGACTTTCATCGCTTGGGATGTCTGATGGTTTCATATGGTTTCACCCCTGCCAAGATCTCTTCCCATGTGTGGAAGAATAGAGATAGGTTTCTGTCTCCTTGATATTCCGGCTGATACAAATGCATGGATGTATACAGAACCTCAACGTTGGAAGTTGTCTTCAAGTTGAGGAGCATCAATGCCAATACTTCTCTTCCTTTGATAAGTGTGGATGTCCTACCTTCGGAATTGATGCTTGTTCTCAGCTTCATTGCAACATTGTTCCCTTCTTCCTTGGAGTCTGAGACTACCTTAGTCAATGCTAGCTGCTAGACCCAACTTCGCGTCGATGGAATAGAGAATCCATGAGCTTATCTGGGTCAGGATCATCAATTGCTTCTCTGATCCAATCGATCCACGGCTGCTGGTCAGAATCATTTGCCGCAATGATGATTGTCTGTATCAGGTTAGCTTTCCATAGTCCAAGATCATTGATTTTGGGCCACGGACCTTGGATTCCTCTTTCTTGGAAACTTTCGTGGCCACAAAAGCAGGTGAGGATGAAGATGCCGATGCCGCTTCGGACAACTTGTTCCTTAGCTCAGTGTTCAATCTTCTTGCTCTTGCGCTTCTTCACATTCCTCAGTATAGTTTTCAAAAGCTTCTTCATACCATTCGTACATCTCACCTCGGCTACCTCTCAATCGGTGGGCCTCATCTTCATAATGTTTGACGTCGTTTCTCAGGCGTGAGCTCTCCTCTTCGTCTGGCCGGCCCGACGGGTTGGTAACCCTCGTCCATCGCGATTGCCATCCTGATCACGTTCTGTGTACGTTTGGCCGTGACGAAGCTTTGCTTTCATCTGTGCGTTTTCTGACTTTGCTTGCCACAATTCTCTCTCGGTTTCTTGTAGGTTCTCCTCCATCTCCTGGATCTTTTCTTTGACTCTTGCCCCTTCACGACCATCGAAGGCAGGAGTCCTCAAGAGACTCTCTCTCTCTCTCTTCAACACCTTATTGGCCTCAGTGAGAGCAGTGAGAGCAAGATTCGCGTCTTTCAATTGTTGTTGTTCTTCTTTAGCTTGTCGCTGACCGCCACTTGTTGCTTCTTTGAGCGCGCTCAAGGCTTCAGCCATCACTCTCGCCTCATATTGATATTGTTTTGCTCTCATCTCCTTCTCGGTAATCTCCAACTTCTATCCGCGGATCTCGGTCGTTTGATCGAAGTCATGGGCATTCATCTCCGCAGCAGCGCTAGGCTCTGATCCTTTAATCAGTGCAAGTTGTCCACGAAGATGTTCAACCATCCTTCGTTCCTGATACTGTTACTGATGACCGGTGGTCTCAGTTATAAAATTGACCAACCGTCTTTGATGCATTTCACTATCCCATTGCCTCTCTCTCTTACTTCCAACATGTTGCTGTTCTCATCCTGCAGTTCTAGCATCCGCAGTTGGAGCTGATTTGCAACATTGATGACTGCCTCATTCTCTTCCCTCAAGCTTTGGGCACGTCTGTGGGATGCATCAGTGTTCTGATTCTGTTCCTGGATATAGTGAAAAGCACTTTGCATCTCGCTGGTCATATCCCTCATCTTGCATCTTACCTCATCGAGCTGCGAATGTTCTTCATGGCTTTCCTGATCCATCGATTCAGCAAGTCGAAGCTTTTGTTCAAGCTCTTCAATTCCAATGGTTGCTCCTTCATCTTCTTGCATCATTTCCTGTAGGTGATTGTCATGGATTTATTGTGCATCGTCATCTGCGAGAATTCCTCCTGCGATCTCGAATAGAGACGCGTGTATCCAGCATGTAAACAACTGTACTCATCGTGCAAGTACTGTTACGAAAACCCTGGCTGATCGTAATTCTTCAATGAGTTGAATCTCTCTTTCTTCCAACCCTTTTGCATCCTCGATCTCAACTCTCTCAATACTCCTCTTTGGTGATCTTGCAATACTCGTTCTTGGTGATGTTGATCTTGTAAACTTGTAAACCTCTTCAATGTTCTCTTTGCGTTGCCTATTCTTGCATCAGATCCGGTAGCGATCGGCTCCGGTGGCATAGTCATTACTGTAGCATCTGCTGAACTCGCTCCGGTCAATGACCCTGGCGATGATTGAGACATAGGTCCTCCAGGTGTAGCGAAGGAAAACTGTTCACTCTTCTTTTCTCCGGAATTAGACATTGCAGGTCAGTTGTCGGCAATCTTCTCTTTCGGTCTCTTCAAGCTCGCAACCTCAGAGCGGCTATGGCTGATAACCTGCAAGTGGATGTTAACCTTGTAACCCGACAGTTATCAAAGCCATCCTGCGTTCCATGCAAAGCGAAGGCACTCGCGGACCTTTTCTCTGATGGGCGCGCTTGAGCCAAAAGCGGTAAGTCGTCACAAGCATGATGTACAAACGTACAAACTATACATACTATATGCCTGTGGTTGCACTTCCATTGACAGTATTTATGATCATATACAGTCATATACAGTACGCAGGTTTTCTTGGAACACAGGAAGCTGCATTCCACCTGTTTCCCCTACCAGTACCCCTTTGAAATTTATATGCCCTGGTCCTCACATGTCCTGTGTGGAATACGTGGAGCCTTCATTGTGGATCGGCGCCCAACCATGTGTGATCATTGCACACACCACTCCACCCCAAAACTAACAACGTCAATATACATCAATTCACAGCTGAACAAGACCCTCCTGGGCAGTTCCCACGCCCTATCAAACCTACAGTTCGCACGTTGCAGCCCGGCGGCAGATGGCACTGAGACTGATTTCGTAGTGCCAATGATGAAGGTGACGATCTGTGCCAATGGCGAATTTGGCAAGAGGACGCCCAAACCAAGCGTGCAATATATAGAGATGTCCATCAATCTATCTGTCTGTCTGTCTGTCTGTCTGTCTCTCTCTCTCTCTCTCTCGCTCCAGCGGGCATGACTCGTTTCTAATCCGCACAACTGGGGAAGGGATGTTTTCTGTGTCCATTGGGATGTTTTCTCTTTTATGAGTGCGTCGATGAGGCCCTGACGTTTTGAGACGCCTCCACACGTCGGTCCTGACATCTGGGCGGGGAAGAGGGCTCCCCGTACACATCCCGACCTGACCTCAGTTAGACATGGGGCTTAAGATGGCTTAAGTCTGTTCAACACGAACGGTTTACAAACAAGAACAGTTACAGTATACCTCTCGTATCCTCAAACTACGACGGGAAGGACCGTGGGTGAGATTCATTTCTCAAACTGCGTGTGGAAGTTTGAAACTGGAGATAAAGAGGAGCTTTCGATCTGAAAGCCTCTCTGCAAACAACGTGAGCTTTAACGGCTGACACTGACAAACTTGAGAGAGGAGGGGGGTGAACGAAAGGTAGCAGGGAATCAGGCGTAATCCGGGAGGAGGTGAGAGGCCCCCCACGGTTGTGTGCTGGAAAAGCGCAGAAAACCGTGTAAATACCGGCGTTTTCTGCCGGGAAGGTGCACAAAACCCTGTAAATACCATAGTTTTGTGCAATTTTGAAGCCTCCAAAAGCCTCAAAAACCCTTTCCGACAAAATCTTTCCTGGTTTTTGGCCTTTTTCCGGTCATTTTTCTAACCGAGACGCATCAAAAACCATCGGTTTTTGCGGTGTTTTTTGCCGGACAGCCACAAAAAACGCTGTAAATTCCATGATTTTTGGTCACTGTTGAGGACTGGAAGAGCTGACCGTTCACCCCGAGGCGCGCCAGGGTGGAGTTGAAAGGGCCCCCCCCCCCCGGCCAGCAAACGAAGATGTCGGGGACCATTTCTCAGTGAGATAGGCTCCAGCTCTGGGTATAATACATTTTTGCTAAAGCAAAAGGAAAACTCAGGTAGCGTAACCGCTACCTTTCGTGAAAAGTGAAATCAATTGGGGCCCGTGGAATATGCTGGAACGATGGTGTCTGTTCTATGCTGTGTTTATCTTCTTTTGTAATAGGTTTTTCTCCGCATTCTGGGGCAACCCAAGGGACAACCATCCACAAACGTTGTTGGTTGAGTCTGTGAGGGCATCCCTACCGAGGCAAATGAGCCAACCCAATGCTTTCTCATCTCGACATGGGAAAAGACCAGTCCTCCCTCACTGGATAGTACTCGTAACGTGTGTTGTCCATTCGCTGGGCCAACCTCGGCTGTGCAGTTTGAGTGCAAACCTGCATCTGGCAAAACCTTGAAACATGCCGCTTGTGGTTCTTAATGCTTTTGCAGTCAAAGGGGTTGCTTGTTACAACCCATGGATACCACACCCCTCCCGTAAGATCTGTGCTGAAAGCCTGCTGTGGTTGCTTCTTCGACCACCTGAGCTTGACAACCGTCTTGATATCTTGAATATGTGGAGGAAATCTTCTCTCAAGCGCTCTACTTGCCGCGAACTGAGCACTCAGTATCTGCAATTTTCTCTGACAAACCCACCTCCCCTGATGCTTGTGAAACACTTGAACACTTGTCAGATCGAAGTCCGGTGGGCTTTGCAATGGGATCGCAGCGTCCCATGAATGGAATAGGGCAGGATGTAGACTCAGAAACAGCCCCTATGAAAGCCAATGTGGAGAGTGACATTGGATAAGGTAAAATTGAAAGAGGATGTTGAAGCTCCGACCAGACTTGCCAAGGTGAGACAACTTGTGAAACTGGATCCTTCAGGACGCTAAGCTGCACTGAGGCGACACGTCTTTGTATTTGTCACACTTGCCGCAGGGCTGTGACAAGGTGTCTGTATGGGCTCTGCAGGTCCGAAGTAGTGCAGTGACAAACCACTTCACATCCTCACATCAAAATTACCCAAAGGTTCGCAGGCAAAGAACTCGGCATATACTACGTATAATTAAACCCGTTGTGTTGCTGTACCTCATGCAGGGTGTTGCCACAAAAAAACCACCCAGACCATCACCTCCTCTATACCCTGGCATTGCGGCAACTGGGCTTTGAGCAAGATGTTCTGACCTCCCGGCTGGTCCTTCCGACCAGTGACCCAACCCAGCATCCCACCAGACGACAACGCCAATGGCAAGCTACAATGACAACAGGAACAGCTGTGGTCGCCATAGCGACGACATCAGTGACAGGCCACCAGCAAGAAGTCATGATCACACCGTGCTAGCACGAATGGCAATCAACAACAACGGCAACAACCTGTTGCAAAAGAACACAAACAAACTCAACTCAAAGACATTGACATTCCCACTAAGAAGCCACAATGACACGAGCAATAACACGCCAAAGTGACAAAGGAAATGCTGAGCCACCACTCACTCAAACAACGATGACGCGCCACACTGGCAACTGAGCAAACCTACTTGGTCCGGCTGGAATGGCTCAAAGTCAAGTCGGTCGAAAAGCTGCTGAGCTGACCACGACAGCATTCTTCAAAAGGCGGTTGTTTTCACTAGCAAGGGGTAGCTCAACAGCGTGCGGCCGTTCAAAAAATGTGCTTCGATCAAAGTGAAACAGGAAGAAAAGGTCTAACGAGTTGAAGGAAAACAAGCAAACATAGAAAAGACAAATACACACAAAAAGCAAGGAAGCAGCGGAGCAAGCAAGCAATTGCCTAAAGTTAAACATCTGAATTGTTCTTGTTTGTCATAGCCCGAGGAATGGCCAAAGTTGAGAACTCTGAGCCGAGAGTCCTGGTCTAAAAGGTCTTTGAGCAGGGCCTCCTCAAAGCATGGGGCCAGCTCGTCGGTGGCCACTGGCGCAGCCAGCCCAACCCACAAACATTCGCAGTCGATCCAGCTACATGTCGCAAACCATGAGAAGTTTGCACTGGCTGGCTGGCAGGTGGCCTTCCACTGGCCAACCCAATCTACCTCACTCAGGGCATGAGCAAATTCAAGAATCCTTCCCATATGGAGGACGGGTTTAGGAGTGGATAGTGGGGCAAGCAAACAAACTAAACGCGAGCTTCTCTTCTGGCTGGTGAGAAAAGGCTTTCTAATGCTGTTCAGATTCATACGCCTGCAGATTTGAGCAGCCCTGGCCCTGTCCACCGGCCAAAGTGAATCTGAGAAAGAGGAGGAGCAACAGTCTGCTTGTCCTGAAAATGGCCTAAGTGCAAAGGACAAAGAACTGTGAGGAGCATCTTGGACTATGAATTATGAGGTGCTCCGACTTGCAACTGGAGGCTCTTGGTGAAAAAGGCACTATGCAAATCAAATGGAGCACACTTTGGGGGCAGTTGTCGCACCGTCAGTGTCTAGTGAGTCCTGCACATGCAGGCCGCAAAGGCAACCCTAAAGACACCAAAGCAAGATCTAAGCTCAACATTGAAACTTATGGGAGGGAAAACGCAAATCATGCTACTAGTAACGTTGGAGCCAACCCTGCACCCGGCTAGCCATCTGGGCTTGATTCAAGCCAACCCCCGTTTCATGGGATGCCTCCCGAGCCCCCTTTGCTTTTGACGTCGTGCCATGTCGCTTCAAAGGCCATCTGTGCCACACTGCGGAACCACGCAGTCCGAGCCCATCGCCATGTGTGCTCGAGCCACAGTTCAGCGGAAAACAATCAATGGCGCAGACTCAAAGCAGAATCAGAAGTCAGTGAGGATGCACAAAGTTGCATCTGGATGCCTTGATTCCTAACTCAACCTTGATAAGTTCCTCAAGGGCAGTGCCTCTCCATTCAGCATCGTCGCCAACCGAAACACATTCTTGAGCGGATCCACCAGCCTGAGGCAACACATCTGATGAAACATCGAGAAACATTCCTTTTTTCAGTAGGGATAGTCGGCTAGTCTCTGCGGCGCACTTGGCATTAACGACATCTATGGTGAAGGCATAGCGCGTGTCTCCCTGGCGCTTGGCATGTGAAAACAGCGAGCACATCCAGCAGCATGCAGCTTGCCTGCAAACCATCCGGAATCTGGAGATATAACCTGAGTTGGTGCTTGGACACGGGCCCTGGGATACCTTCAGCCTAGATCGAGAGGCTGCATGGAAGAAGGGTGACAACGCAAAAAAAGCCCTATGGAGCTCCTTTTCGGTAAGCTCACTGCTTGTTGCGTTCCGCCAAGTTGTTGTGATCCACGGAGCAGGTGGTGTCCACGGGGAGATCAATTGTGTAGGCAGGCATGTAGACCGTCGTTGTCAAGGGGCAAATGTAGGTGAACCTCAGTGGCCCGGCTGAATCCGGCCGCTTGGATCGTTCGGTCGTCCAGGGACAGTGATAGAGTTTGGGCCAAGTATGCACCCTGAGCCGTGTACCCTGGAGGTGCTTCCACCAGCAGAACAGCTGGAACTAGCTCTGTCCTGGAGCAACTTCACAGTCAAAGGGACGTGTCGATGTGGAAGATCCGCGAGCGTGGCCCTTGCCCTTGGAGGTTCATTCTCCCAATCATTCTCTACTTCAGAAGGGCTGCAACTCTTTCCTGAGGGGAATTTTCTATTTGGACAGCAGGAAACTGATGCGTGCTACAAGATGCTACAAGTAGGTAATGGGCGCATGTGGGCACACTCATGAGAATTGATGCTTGGCATCAACACGGGTCACTGCATGGATTCATTTTCAACAGCCCGTCATCATCGATTTGCCGAGATCGATCGACATAACTTACTGTCAGAGTTATGCTGGTCCCGGAGGCGGTGGCTTGCAGGAAAGGCATCACCTTCGCAAAGGCTGCATCAGGGCCATCAGGATCACTTATAACTTGGGGATCAAAAAATATCACCATCTAAATCTAAACCTCTCTGCACAACCACTACAAGTGCAACGCAGCACAACGCAGAACGCAACACAAGAAACACTGGACTCAACCAGGTGAATGAACCAAGTGCTAGCCGAGTCAGTCAGGCCTCCATTGTTGTTTCGAAGACCTGACTCGTCGCCGACTGCCCATAACTTGTCACCGGCGCCACGTCCAATGCTTGCTGTGTGACAGCGTGCTTGCCACGTCTGTTGCCGCCCAGGCACGAAAAGGGTTGGATTCTGCCAGCCTTCTGCCACAACGTTGAACGGCTCAACCTGAATCAAGGCACCAATTCTGCAAAATTTGCCATGTGAGCTCATCAATGCTTAAATGAAATGAGCCACCCTTGTGTTGACGAGGACTTGGGTCTTGAATCCCGTCGTGCCCTTCGATGCAATGTAGCGCCAGCTGTCCGGAGGAGGGTTTCCAGTTCTGCGATACCTGCCACAAATCACACATCCACTCCGGCTCGGCAGTGCCTCCAACTCTCTTTCGGAATTGCCGTGTTTCTGAGAACTCAACTGCTCGATCCACCATGCATTTGGCACAGGCCTCATCCAATTAGGCTGGTCAGGTTGGCGAAGGGGCTCTCTTGACAGTGGCACATGCGCTGAAGCTAGGGGGCAGCAGTTTCCACTACTGACCATTTTGTCCGACACTTCATTGTTCAGCTAGCTACGCCACATCTCTCGCACCGGAAAGGAAGTCGCAGTCGCAACTGTAGACAGATGTACACTGCCAAGCCATGACACTAGCAACAAGGGCATCGCTACTAGTAACAAGGGAATCGCTACTAGTAACAAGGGAATCGCTACTAGTAACAAGGGCATCGTCGCTACTAGTAACAAGGGCAACGTCGCTACTAGTAACAAGGGCATCGCTACTAGTAACAAGGGCATCGCTACTAGTAGCAAGGGAATCGCTACTAGCAACAAAGGCATCGCTATTAGCAACAAGGGAATCGCTACTAGTAACAAGGGCATCGCTACTAGTAACAAGGGCATCGC